GCCCTGCGCGCTTATCGGTCTGTGTCTCCGCTCCCCTTCTCCTCTTTCGTCTTCTCCCCTTTTCCCTCTCCTCCGGGCCATCACCGTCCACGCAATGCAAAGCGACCTGCCCGCGTCCAATAAAAAAAATAAAATAAAAAAAAAGACCTGCCCGCGTCGCGTGTCCTGTTTCTCGCTCCCTCCCGAACGTCACAAGACCACATGGTTCGACGTGACGTGGCCATGACTCTGACGACACGAGACCAATGTTGCCTGACGCAACCGAAGTTTCGGTTTCGGTATAAGCTGATGTTTAAATTAAGATTACACAAATAATATTCCACATTTCGCGAATCCGAAGATGTAGAGTTGTTTAGTAGTGCTTTGTGAATTTGAATCACATATAAGCCTAAATGTTTCGGAGTTGAGCGGAGTTGCCCTTTAAGCCACTGTAATGAAACGCTTTTCCAACTTTTTCCTGTTTAGCTTTCCTCCTCAACTCATAAATCGCGCATTCTACTAAACAGTTCAAGATGACGAAAAGAGAGGAGTCCCCTCTTGCTCGGAATCTCGTTTGTATACCCGGACAGAGCCATTGTCCCCCTAGAAGATTAGCCCGTCGCTCAAAATTCAGACAAAAGTTGCTTTCCCCACCCCGTTTACCCCGGAGCTGACAGTGCTGTGCAAGCTACGTGCTCGTTGGGCCAGCCACACTTTTGCCACGTGATCACGCTTTCCCGCGCATACCCACGCGCAGAGAATGAGGACAGGTGATGAAAGGAAGGCGACTGATTCCAACGCAATGTCAGCTTAGGGATGAAGGGAATAAGGGAGGTCCGGTATCATGTGACGTGCGTTTGGACCCGGTGACGCGCTTTGGGAACGGCGGATGTATCACAGTGAAAAGGCAGAGAGCTTACGAAGGGGAGGGGGTACGAAATAGTCCGCTGTGTTTCCAGATTTTCGCACTGAAAGTCAGGCTTTTGACTTTCTACCTTTTTTCTTTTGGCCCACTGAACGATGTGCTATTAGTAAAATCACAATCTAAAGTGATTTATACCAGCCCAAGATTCCTTTCATGGGCCCTTTCAGCACAAAAAGCTACACTGGTCATAATTAATGACACCAAAAAAGTATGTTAACATCATTTAGAAAAGATGTAAGAAAAATTGTGGCACTAGGAAAGCGAATCCAAGCCATTGAGTTTTGGCACGACATAGGCCGATATAAAAAGTGAAAAGTACACGAGAAATTTCTACCCCATATTGGTGATCACCGGATAAAAATATGCATAACATGGCCAAACAAACTATTTGCTATACATAGCGGAATTATAATGGTAATGAAGCAAACGCAAACAAAAGATTTCCGTGCCGAAAAAGTGGTTAAATAAACATGACCATTTCCCGATAGGTCAGACATCAGAGATGCAAATTTTAAAAGGACAAAGAGATATAAGCACAATTGTGTTTTCCAATGTAGATGCAAGTGCGACACGGGAATTCAAAATTTAGGTTTTTGAGGAACAAAGGGACTTGTGAGAACATACCTTTGAGATAACCTAATTTGCGGTTAGTGTTAAGGCCCGTTCACACAGTTGCGTTTTATTCCGCACGACTGAGACAAACACGGTTTTTAAGCCACTTGTGACAGCTTTTGACAGGCTGCGCAGCAATGCAGCTAGTCTTAAGCTGTCGCAGAGGCTTAAAAACAGTTATTGTCTCAATCGGTCGGAGACAAACGCAAGTGTGTGAACAAGCTTTTATTGTCTACACACCGCTGCACCATTAAAAAAATCCAGGTAGGGTCATCGGCTTCATTAACACCATTTGTACGAAGGGCAAACTGCAAACAGTGTTAATAGGATAGTTGTAATATTTGGGTATGGATTCATCCCATGACCATTAATTCCACCGCTAAAGATGCTGTGACCATTGTAGCTAACATGCTTGATCCTTGTTATGTCGGCCTGAAGCACACCTGATACACATGTGCTTCAGCCAATATGTCTACTATAAAGTTGTAAGCTATGCCTTATAGACAGTTGATGCAGTTATGAGCAAATGGGCTGACCAAAGTAGAAACACACTCAGTAAGGTCATTTAGCAGACAAGAAATACAGAGGCCAACGCAAGAATCTTGCAGAACGCTAAAATTAGTTCCGCTGACATGAACGAACAGAGAGCAATTTGACTCCGAGCAATACATTTAGATTAAAACCAAGTTTGCCAAGCTTAAAAAGCAAAGCCTTTGGGGAGACATTATCAAAAACTTTTTGAGGAGCCAAAAGTATGCAATTCTCTTGGTAACAGACCACAGTCATAAATATAGTGAAGCTCATGAGAAAACACAAACAGCTGCATTTCACATGAAAAAGAATTCTTAGGTTTATCTGGAGCACAACCAGAGTTAAACGAGTCTAGAAAGTTGGAAAGATGGGAGTGCATGGCATGCGAGGGGTCGCTAATAATAAAACTCACCTTAAAAAAACGTATTCAAAAACTTGCACATTGTACTGTTATCTCCTTTCGTGTACTCCCCTCCCGTGTACCTACACTGCTCCATGCGAATCTTCCATTGCTGAAAGCAGTGCTGTAGGTCATCAAGTGATAAGCCCTTCATGAGCTCCATCGCTTTTGCCTTTACAGCATCCACAGTAGTACCTCGATCCTTTCAACCCAGACTTCATCTTGGGAAATAGGAAAAAGTCAGAAAGTCACATGGCCTGAAATGTGGAGGAACAATTCATGAATCCTTCGAGACAACGTGCTAGCACATAAAGCCTTGTCGGTAATGTCTTTCCCGACTCAGCATAGTATCGCCGTGTAGAAGCATCCGCCATGCTCACCTGACCTGGCCCCATCCGACTTTTTCCCATTTCCCAAGATCAAGTCTGGGTTGGAACGAGCAAGCTTTGACTCTATTAATGCTGTGAAGGCAAAAGCAGTGAAGCTCATCAGGGGCTTATCACTTGATGACCTGCAGCGCTGCTTTCAGCAATGGAAGATTCACATGGAGTGGTGAAGGGACAGAGGAGAGTACATAGCTATATTTCAATCGTACAAATTATTTTATAATTTTTTTTTAAACATGAGTTGTCTTATTTAATGGTTACGCCTTGTATGTTCAAGGAGCTTACAAGGGATGCCGGTAACAGATGTAGGATCAAATTTAATGGGAATAAGGTTACCACTTCATCTGAGAACTGAAATCTGCTTTCAATTTTTACAAGAGGGCAACATACTGTGTTTAAGGAATCATAGAAAGTGTTTTGTCAGGATAAAATGTAATATTTCTATCGTCTGCATTTTCGCACTGCCAGCCTTGTGTCTGCTGCACGAGTGAAAACTTTAGTGCACCCCCATGCTTCAACAAGAGTCTGTCTAAAATTGAGATTTAGGGGTTTTTGCTGATGCTCAGCTATTTGAAAAGTTGATTTGTAAATTTTAACTTATTATTTACCTGATTAGTATGTTTTGCAGTTCCTAAGGTCTGCAATGGCTGGAAGCTCCTTTCCCAAAAAGTGCCCGGTATAACCCAAAATAATTTAAACAAGTCTGTTTACAGTCACAACACTCTTTACCAATACAATTTCTCAGCTTTAAAATTAGGAGCCCTTTGGTTAATCTACGACCAGCTGGAATAACAAACCAGCACGAACACCACCCCTTTTCATTCTTAGGAAATATAAATGCCATCACTCCTTGCCTCTAGTTTCCCATTGAGGCACACATGTTTGCAGCCAAGAGCTTTTTTTCCTTCATTTCAGGCTGCCAGTCTCCCCCTTAAATTACACAAGGGGCAGTAATACAATGGCTGCCAAGACACTGAAAAAAGGAATTTTGATATTTTAGAATTTGTTGAGTAAAATAGAAACACAAAAGCACAACAGTAAAACGCTATGTGAATGTTTACGCTGGGAAGATAATGCTTCGGCTAGATTGTTTTGGATCCATATGTGGTCTCCACTAGGGTCACTGTATGTTGCCAGACTATCGCATTCTAGAGTGTTCGCTGTTACTGTTCAATTTCAGCTTTGATCAGCCATTTTGGCACTGAAACGAATGGTGGAAGGAATTTCAAAAGAAAATTTTATTTACATATCTACAGGTTGTACAAGTTGTACACCGGCATTCATACTATATAACTGAAACATGATTCGAGAAAGAAATTTACACTTGAAAAAATTACAGAAGTTTATGCTTCTCTGTAATGTGAAATTAGAGTGCAGCTCTTCAGGTATGTTGATTTTGTGATATGCCGTGGTAGAGAATTTGAGAGAAATATATAAGTCAAAAATACATACTTACGGAGCTACTACACTAGGAAGTTTATTGTATTCGTTACGTGGTATATGTTATATGTTGTTATATATATATCTTTATATATATATATATATATATCTTTATATACATATATATATTTGATTTTTTTGGTTTGGTTTAGGGTAGGCCAGGGAGGACGAGGAGGGTACAGTGGGAGTCCCATAATGCAATGCGTGCAGTGTTTGTTTCAACGTGAAACGTTTTTGGCTAGTTGCTCCGGATCTCGTGAAGCTATGGCTTGTGATGTCACATGACGTCAGTTTCTCGGCTAAATTTAGTTGGAAAATTGATGCCACATGACCTCAACACCAATTCAGTTTCCTCGCTAAATTTAGCAGGGAAGATGGCGACACATGACTTTGTGTCACGTCACTTACAAACAAATTCAGTTTCGCCGCCAGATTTAGCAGGAAAATAGACGTCAGGTGACATCAACACCATTTCTGTTTCCCCGCTAAATTTAGCGAGAAAAATGATGTCACATGACTTCATGTCACATGATGTAAACACAAAGTCGGTTTCCCCGCAAAATTTAGCGGGAAAACTGACGCCACATGACCTCAACACCAATTCGATTCCCAGCAGGGAAACTGATTTGGTGTTGAGGTCATGCGACGTCAGTTTTGCTGCTATGTTTAGCGGGAAAACTGAATGCGCAGTGTTGTTTAATGGGACATCACAGACCTACAAACCAATTTAGTTTTTTCGCTAAATTTAGCGGGGAATTGAATTGGAGTATAGGTCTGCGACGTCCCATAATGCAACGTGCATGGTTATGCCGACGCAGCTATATGTGGAAACGGGCACCCAAGAGCTGCACTCTAAAATGGAACGTGGGCCACACTGGCTTTGATTCGAGGTGGTTCACTTGAACGCAGTGGAGTTTCGACTCCTAATCAGCAAAATAGAGTGGTGGGGGGCAGTAGCAAGTATACAAAGGGCCATACAAAAAAAAAAAAGAAACAAAAAAAAAAAAGAGACACAACCGAGTGGTGCAGACATTTAAAAAGGGGCGATGAGGGCAAAACTAGTTTTAAGACTTCGAGGGGAGACGTCCAAGGATTGGACGATCCTCCCCTCAACACACCTTTCTCAAGTCCGGCGCACGAGATGTCTCACGTCCAGAGGTGCCCGAGCGCGACATGCTGATGCGACACCTCTTGCCTTGGCGGTCCAAGGGAGTGGCTCCGTCACCGTCAGCCTCCGACGTCGAGGACTCGGAGCTGTCCACTGGTGTCACGGAGGCCTCGAGGGGGATCTGCCGAGCCACACCCACCGCATTTGCCGACGAGGTTGACGCACTGGCCATCAACTCTGCGCTCACCGGCGACTCATCTTGCGCAGGCTCGTTGATGACTAACGACCCGCTGTCCGAGGCGCCATTGACGGTGTCCACTTGGGCACCTAGGTCGACCTAGGGTGCCTTTGACACCTCGGGGCGGGCTGCCTCGGTGTGCACAAGAAGTCTGGCTTGGGGGGCGCCACTTGCTTCTCCACGGTCGGCGGTGTGCCCGCCGCTGTCACATGGGCCACGGGTTTGGGAGGACCCACCGCTTGAGCTACTGCTGAGTGGCCCCTGCATTGCATGCAGTCCGTCATGGCGTGGTTGTGGCCCCAGCGCTTGCACGGAGCGGTGCAGCCCTCGGTGCTGTGGCCAAAGATTCTACAGCGGTTGCAACTCGGCGTGCTGCATGCCGTTCCGAAGTGGCCCTTCTGGCTGCAGCGGGCACAGACTCGCCGCATGCCCCGGTACTTGCACATGACGCGGTGCCCTGCAGCGACATTGATGAAGTTGGACACCACTTTCGTCATTTCCAAGCAGACGACCCTTGAGCCGGTGAACAAGGTGAGACGGTCCTTGCACACCAAGTGAGAGACCCCGGGATCTTGCCGTAAGACCTGAGGAGTGCTTGAAGGGTGTCGTCCAAGATGTATGGTGGAAGTCGGAAAACCGACATGTAAATGGCACCAGGGCCCCACCTGTTCCAGTGGGACCATGACTTTACCCAGCAGCAGGTTGTCCTGCACTACCAACTTCTCGGCCGCCTCAGTGGAGAAAAATGCAGCGAGGAACTTGCTGCCTCTGTCGTGCTGAAGATGCGTCTAACCACCCTCTCCAACAAGGGCTTACAGTGCGCCGATCTAGTCGACTGGAACCTCCGACGGAGCCGAGAACAGGAAAGACTGGGCCTTCGACGGTGTAGGAACGATCTTGACGGACGGCAGAGGTGGTGGCCACAGTGATGATAGTGGACGTGGGCCACAGGCATGTGATTCACAACAGTACACTTGCTCGGAAAGTGCCAATGCCGACCCCGTCTCCCAAGTGGACGCGCCGCAAATTACCACCAAAGTTAGGACGCGCCCAAGTCAGGACACGCTACATGAAATCACTGGTGAGACATGGTTGTATAAAAACAATATTAATTGTGCCACAATACCTGTAAACTAAAATTTTATGCAAACGTCATGCTCCTGTCATCCTCTACTAATCTCCAACAAAAATTTCCACAAAAATAGCTTTTTCCGTTTGTTCTTATGCAAAAACATGCTTTCTGAATGCTCATGATGACCACAGTAGTAAAGAAAAAAAATTGAGCCGTCATCTTGGCACATCGAGTCTGGGAGTTTCGATACTGTGGGAACATTCAGTGACTCTAGTCTCCACAAGTGCTGATATGCCTTCTACAAGGGTATCCTCAAAACCACAAAACTTAACTAAATTTTTTTTTTGTTATTGTTTTTAGGTTTAAGTCACTTGATCTGAAGTCTTCAATTCATTTGAGAAAATTGCAGCCTCCCTAGGGACAGCAGACACACGTTTTACACAAGCAAGTCAAAAGAAATTTTTCCTTTTTTTTTTCTTTTCCTTCGATAAAATGAAACATATCTTCATATCTATCATGGTTGGCCTTCGTAATCAAAGTCAGCATTTGTAAGCCATCAAGGCAAAGATTTCCAACTAAACATTTGCGGACAATGCTGGTATCTTAAGGTCTATTTCCAGCCTCCGCTATTATGCAAGTGACCAATGGTTCACCAATCTCGCACGTTTGAATGCAGCTGCTCAGGTGTGACAGACTCGAAAAGAGCCCGGGACGCCGGAAGAATACGTGAGGCCTTTTCGTCGCCCCACGTTTGAACGTGCTCGGGGCCAAATGCTTCAAGCAAAGCCGTTAAGATGTCTGCAGCACTTGCGACAGCTCCTGCCCGTGCGTCTGAATGTGCCGGTTCAGGTTACTGCTGTTGATGAAGGTCTTGAAGCAGAGCTGGCACTCAAACGGCTTCTCTCTTGTGTGCTGCCGGGTGTGACTGGTGAGCGCCGACTTAAACGTAAACGCCTTGGGACAGTGCTCACACTGGAACGGCTTCTCCCCCGTGTGTATCCTTATGTGGCTCGTGCACTCCCATTTGTTGTAGAAGGTCTTCTCGCACACATAGCATGCGTGTGGCTTGGTCTCGCGGTGCCGTCTAGCGTGGCTCTGCAGGGTGGACAGCGAGCCGTACGACTTAAGGCATTGACGGCACTGAAACGGCCGCTCCCCGGTGTGAGAGCGCTCGTGGTCCCGCAGGGCGCGCTTGCGCCGGAACCCTGCTGGGCACACCGGGCACTTGAAGGGCCGCTCGCCCGTGTGGACCATGGTGTGCTGAATCCAGTTGTCCTTCCTGGGGAAGACACGGGGGCAGTGCTGGCAACGGAACTGGGGCTCCACGTGGGTGGGCAGGTGGGCCGCCATGGAGCGTGGCTCCTCGCTGCCATACTTGCAGAAGCAGCACTTAAACCGAAGATTCTTCCTGGCCTTCGGCGTGAGGTTCGTCTCCTCCAAGCCTGCATGTCCGTCGTCGTCTGTATTCAAAGAAAGCGGAAGGTGCGGATGCTTCAGGCACTCATCTAAACGTCGGCCTAATTCCCAGGCGAACATTGGCCCACTGGCAGCTGGATTACGGAGCTGGTTTCAGCTGGAAACGAGACAGTCCAGCTGAATCTATCTAAGACCACTTTCATAATCCAGCTGAAAGTGAAGTGATTTTCACCTGAGAATTCAATGCAAATGTTTCTTTTCTGTTAATCGCATGAAAGAACGAAAGAAAATGCAAAGTAGCTTCCAAGGTGTCTCACTCCAGTCCTGAGGAAACAAACTCGCGCCCTCCTCCATTTCTCTTTTGTGACAGACCCCAGAGGACTAGTCATCCCAGCCAGTCCAGCAGTACGAACGTATCACATAACCTTGCACACCGCACATCGCTGCGCCGCTCCCGAAGGTCATGTGACAATCACAGGGTGCTGGATTGGCTCCGATGGCTCATAGCATCCTCTATGGTCCATCTTAAGTTGAAACTGAGAGTAGAGGTGAGGCACTCTTAAATAAAAACAACTGCTGCACTGATGGAAGCGGCATTGGAAATTTTGTGGCAGCTTTTGTGGCCAGCAAAATGTTGGTTCAGAGCAGCCACTGATGCTTGTGGAGCAGACGTCAAAATCTGTTGGCATGTCGCTTGAAACTTAAAATGTGATTGAATGGCTAAATGAGTTCACATCTGAAAATAATCGAGGGTTCCTCTTTCATACTGAAACGTATGACTTATTATCGTGTGTAGTAAGAACAGGTGAGACAAAAATAATCACACAACCTTCTTTTTAGAAATAAGGCTGAGGTCAGAGTAGGTTCCATTCACAGTGGGTGTTAAAGAATGGATAAAAATAGAGCATATTGCAACACTTCAGCACCAATAAAGCCTCTCGCTCTTTTCTCCTTTTACACTTCATAGTTAATCTAGCCTGTAAATATAATTCCCGTAAAATGCCGGCAAAAAATCAGACTGTCCGCTGAAACTATCAATAAATATACGTCCCCCTAAGCATCATCAAGACCGAACTAAAGATTCTAATATTGTAAACCGCAAAATCAGCCGCCCACAAATAATATAAAAATCCACATTTGCATATTAAAATTGACACTGCGCTTTAGCAGCGTTGAAAGCAGAGTCGAGTTGAAGTCCACTGTCCTTTCGATCGACTGCTGCATGGAAACTGCAGCAGTCGATCGTTGCAGCCACGCCATGGAGGCATGAGGCACGCACTATAATCAAGTGATATCACCATGAATAAAAGACCCTGGATCTGTCTCATTACAACAGCCACTCACTATTTCACAAATTTCTCTCGCGACTTTACATTCCTGATATCGCCGACATCCTCTGTAAATTTAGAAAATGACGGGGCCAGTGCGGTTCAAGAGCAATATTTACACTTCGCTTCATCTGGAGTCAAAGTGCAGGCGACGCTACGGGTAAATGGGACCGACCAAGCAGCGTCGAAAATACAACATTATGGCATTCTTCGTCTATCTGTACGGTCTCTTTTATTGGCTACACCAATCAAATACTGCGCATTCCCCTAGACTTGCGCTTTTAGTATGTGTGTTCACGGCTATATGTGTTTGAGCCCTTGACTATGCTTTGACCTAAGGCTAAACAAACTATACTGGTGGGTAGAGATGCGGTGAAATACATATTTGTACCATTTTCGTTTCCCTCTACTTCTCAGAATATTCGAACCGACCAATAATAAAATAATGTCATTTTTTGCCGTGTTCAAGCTTACTTCGGCACAGGTGTGGCACACTTCTTAGCGAAAATTGCACTTTGGTGCAAGGTGTAGCAAACCTTGGTTGATGACACAATTTGGCACTAATGGCACGGCAGTTCCATCGCTGCTGCCATGACAACATTTCTCAACTCACCTCCCTTCCTCAAGCCTTCTCGAGATAAGATTGTCAGCTATGCAACATTTGCAACACCATTTAGATGATTATTAATAATACTGTCAAAGTTAAACAGTCAGGGCATGGGCAAGCTGTCTTTAGACTAAGATTGAGTCACTAGAAAGCGATGCCCAGGGTACCGACACTATTTTCCCCCATTATCCACCACTGCCACAACGGTCATTCATCCAATCCCAACACACGACCTTTGCTCACTTGACAGCAGCGCTGCCAGTTTGGTGCCCAGAGCTGCACCGGCATCATTTGTGACAGTTAAGTTTCTAAAATGCGACTCTTGAGCGGCAGTGTCAGTAAACGGCTATAGTACCTCTGGTTGCGGAGGTGTTTTTGTGGGGTTTATTTTTCAACACAAATTTAGTGTCTTTTGGAGCCTATGCTTCATATCAGCAAAAAAACGGCATTTATGAAGATGAGAATGCAATGCAGCAGAGGAACTACCCGGCCTCCAAAGGATAATAGCACAACCCAAATACCTGAAAAACATCCAGACACCGATAAGAATGTGAAACAAGACGAGGAGTGTGGATCCCGTAGAGCAGGGGTACTCAAACTTTGTGGTCTCATGGAACCCTCCCCCCTCCCCCCCCCTCCATATTTGCCGACCGAAAAGCAACAGATACACAATTGTAGACAATTTTGCTTGTGTTGCTTCCCATATATCCCCACCATATCAATCGCGATGTCAGTACAAAGTGAGATGAAGGCACTTTGCATGGTCCTGCCGCGCAGCCAGCGGCATGGGGGAGGGGGGAAAGAGAGGGGGGTTGCATAATGGGTGTTTGCGGAACCCATGAGACCAGCTAATGGAACCCGTGTTCCCCGGAACCCAGTTTGAGAACCCCTGCCATAGGGTAAAGAAGTCTTACAGGCAGTTCAATAAGGGCCATGTTCCAGATCAATGAAAATAAAGCTATAGATGAAGGTTTCTTTTCATGAAGCTTGGTTTTATTTCTCTCACTCAAGGACAGCTCCTAATCTAGGTTTTTCGGTTTTCCTCGATTCCGAGAAACTCAACTTGCGGGTTACTTTTTGAAGTTTATTGGTACATACCGGAAACTTGGGACCCTACATCCATGGCCTTTCCAGACACTATAAAAAGTACCTACATTTTTGTTGACTCACAGCCCAAGCAGCAACCACAGCTATTAATTTATCTACAAATTTTCCGATGAATGATCAATATAAAAAAGACTAACCGTACACGGCCCACCACAGCGATATGTTCAGTGAGTTCTACGGTGGCGGCCTTCAGCGGCAAGGTATGACGATCCCCGGACGTTTCCCATAGGGTCGTCGTGGCTGGAAAACTTCTCCACTGGCCGTCGCAGTATCACATGACATCACATGGCATTATGGTTAGTGTGCACTATGATTTTACACAGCGTGTGTGTGTGCAGCAATGTGAAGAGCCTCGGCTGCCACCGCGGTTCTTTTGTCTTTTATGTAACGGAACATCCCAAGATACTTCCGCACAAAAGGTATCCTGGGGTACAAATATATATATACATACAGAGGAGCAATTTTTTCAAACGGTAGTAGGTGTGGTTTGCGGCGAATGCAAATGATGTGCTCCTCGTGTTCCTCTCTACGTGAGTTAATGCACCTCTTTTCCCCTCAAACTCTTCATCCCTTCAGAGCCACCATCCCAAATGCCGCTACACAAATATTATCGGCCCCAGTGAATCACACTGGAGGCCCATCATTGCTTGCCAAGCATTACAAAGGGCGTCTGTCCAAAATGAACCTCGTTTTTCCACGCAAGTCCGTCTCAAGCTGTCAGCTTAAGTGCATCCGAGTCACCCAGTTTGGAGAGATTCGACAATGGAGCCGGACTTGTCCGCACTAAGGCACCCTTCGTCGCCAGTGACTTTAGTCTCCATTGAACTTGTGGCAACATAAGAGGACCATCACACAAATTTCCTACACTGTCCATTATAGTGACCACCCGTCTGTGCCACTCGCGCGACTGACCCACATTGAGGGCTTGTATCCCGCGTCCCACAAGAAATTCCCAAAACTTCAAAATGTCATGGATTTCATACTGTCGTAGAATTCACTCTGGAACTCATGGTGCTGTCAAACAACGAGGCACGGAGATACGTGGATGTCGCTGGTAATCCTGTGAATCACAATGGTATGCCATTTGCTATCCAAGCATTGCGGGAAGCGACCATTGTTCTTGCAGGAGAACAGACGCGCATGCTCCGTTGTGCCTCTCCACTTGGTGGCAAAATATTGCAAGGAAAATTAAGTTTAAATATAAAATACAATAATTATTTTCAAATCGCTGCATCAATGTAAAAAAGTTGCTGTAATTTTCTTTTTTTTTTTTTTTTTTTTTTTTTTTTTTAGTGAAGACAGCCCACAAGGCAAAAAGCCTGCAACTCACAATGGTCGAAAAAGACCATAATGTTAAAAATTTGTGTAGGACCATGTTGATAAAAGTAAAGGCCCGTTGACATTCTTGCAACCGAGTATGACCGAGAAAGACGAGACCTGTTGAAACGTCTTAAAATTTCTTAGGATGAGGAACAACACTGGCATTCTGGCGCCATCTATGTAGTGACCCGGGAACTATATTTCACAAGAGCGAAGGTTTTGCGGGATTTCCGAGGTCAAATGTGCGTAATACCTATAAGAAAGGCTCATTTATAACGTTGACAAAAGTCAAAAGTTTTTCGAGCCAAGAAAGAAAGGATAATGCACAAGAGAAATAGAAAATATGCTGGATTGCCAAGTTTACACTGCTCCAGAGTAGATGGCGCCAGTCTGTCCTCTCGTTGTAAGAGGTTTCAAGGCACCCAGCTCTAAGAGGTCGCAAGACTGTGAACGGGCCTTAAAGGGGCCCTGCAATCATATTTAAGCGTCTACCTTTTTCGCAGTTTCCACGTCCCCTCGGGGTTCGGGCAAGCCAGCGGGCACGGAGAGAGTAACTAAATATCAGTGCGTCATATTTTAACCGGACGGCGCAGAAACTTCTTCCAACAACGGGGGCGACCCGCGGTGCCGAAAGCGTGCAAAATGTGACGTCTTTGGTCGTAGGCTTACTACTGGTCAGAGCCGCTAAAAGCTTCTTTTTTGTCGAAATACAAAATAAAAGTGGCGCAAACCGCTTCAATTATTTATAAATGTAGTTTTTGTTCACTATTTTGCATCAGAAAAGAAACAAATGCAATTTAGAAAGTGTGGAAACAAGAAATGACCCGTCGACATACCCTCCGCCAAGCAGCGGAAAAGGCAGCGCATACTAGAAAGGTGTAGTGGGATCAGGTGCCAACGAGCGGCCAGCGTAGAAAGGTCCCGGAAGTACACGGCGGCGCTGCGGTTGTACGGACTAAAGGATCCGACCGGTTCCGAGCGTTCCCAAGGCCTTCGGCAAGCAGCTTTGGCTTCTAGTTTGGCCTTTTGGCGGCATGGCAGCGCAAAGTGGCTCCCGTTCTGAACTTATCTTTACCCCGTGTTTGCTGTCGTTTGTGGCCAATGAAGTGTCATGCCGAATTAGTGTTTAATCGCGCAGCAAATGCAATGTGAGCCGCCCTGGCTGCCTGCTTCATGCAGCCTAGCCAGAACATGCTTTAGTGGCGCCCTCTCGAGCCGTTGACACAAAGTGCGGCAGCCGTGAGCGCTCGAGAGCTCACTACCCTTCATCTAGTTCACGGCCACTCAAGCAACCAAGGGCGTCATGAAGCAGGTTATCTTTTGCTTGTTTTTTGTAATTTTAATTTGCCTATAACTTTTAAAATAATGCGAAATTCGAGAAAGAAGAAAAGTTTTATTAAGTTACTACGTTCAGTGCGCTCAGGTTCAGTGCAAATTAAAAACCAGTAAAAAAAGACCTTGCAGAGCCCCTTTAAGCGTTGACAGGAAACAATAACCCAAAAAAAGATTTACTGTTTCTGATTTCCATTTGATGCACTGAGTTCTGCTACAGTCGATTTTATGTTTTCAACTTCGACAGAATAACACATTTGGCATAAAGGGAGTGAAAATTATTTGAGATTAATCGCTGCAATACAATTAGCAGGTATACAAACAGCACAGGATATTAAACGTGTTAGCAGAGCCTTGTTTGGTGGTGTGCGTGGTAATAAATTTCCTTTACCCCCCCCCCCACCCCCCCCCTGCCCCGCATGTCCCGCATTTCACTTGCAGGAAGGTGGTCACCCTACTGTCCATTATTAGTGGCTTCTACCTCTCCACTCGCCCCATTTCCAGCATTTGCTCTGCTAAAGTGGAGGGAGTGGAAGGCTTTGTGGATGGAGCTTATCCTGCTGTTCTTGCAAGTGACCTCTCTTTTACTAGATAACAGAAAGAATAAATGGAGAGGACGAAGGACGTCCTCTCTATGCTTTATTCTCTGTTACCTAGTAACCTTTACCAACATGCTCGTTAGGAATAGGACCTTTCCTTAAACCATCTTTTTTTTGTTGTTGCCTTTTTAATATATATATATATATATAGGGGATCGCAATATCTGAGGAGGTTACGGAGCAAATTTGGGGACCCTAGCTTGCACCAAAAAGGCAGCCTTCAGGTTATCCTATAAACCAGATGGTTAATTTTCGACAACAAACGTAACAGGATACCAAAGCTCGGTGGAGTGTTGGAATACAATCAACACATCAAAAACGTGTTTCACTTCAAAAATACAAATATGTTTTTTTCAAAATTATGTCTATAGACCTTTCCAATGGCAGTCTCGAACGAAGCAATTTACAGCGCGCGTCCTTGGTTTTCAGAGGGTATGTCAGTGTTGCCCCACTGCGCTGGGCTGTGGGTTTTCTCGTCAGTAGGCTGTGGTAGCCTGCGTAGGCACGATTCCGGACGCTGGTGGCGGCTAAATTGCCTCGTTTTATTTTTTTGTTTTGTGCTCTATGGTGAAGAGAATTTCTCGAGGTTTTTAAGAAAGCATCGCACTATTTGTGGGAACAAAAACAAACAAATGAAAGCCATTTTTGGTGAGTCCGTGCACGACAGAACATATGCAACTGAAATGAGTGTTTCATTTTATGTTGACTTTTTGTAGCACCATACACTCAGCCGTGTCAATCTACAAAGGTCTTAACTGTCTAAAATATTTGAACACACCACAAGATAGCCGAACTGCATGAGTATTCCCCGCTCACAGCATGAAATTCAACGAGTCTCATCAATCGAACAGCATATATTGTACGTACCCCACGGTGCTGCGTTATCTGAACAGGATTTGAGAAAGGTCTCCAATAATACAGCATATCCCATATACAGTGTTGACGATAGTCACTTATGACGACCGGACGGAATCCGGCTTGTCTTGGGGCCCGTTTCGAAGGCAGTGCTTTTTTACACAGCACCAAAACAAATGAATGAACGTGTCTAGTGAGTCGCCATACTTTGAACCATATCAGCTATTTCTCGCCAGGACCGGGAACATAGCTGGGAAGGCTTTTAGGAGATTATCTCAACGGAAATAATCCTCGAAAAACGTTGAACGGCCCGTGTCGCGAGCGGCTTGACGTTTGCTCTCTTCGTTCGTTTCCTGCGAAGGCCGAGCAGGCTACGAGCCCTGGTATTCATTGGTTCTCACAGTGGAAGATAACACAAAACATTTAATCATCCTGAACAGGCAAATAAAGTAAAAACTTTCAAGGAAAGCCGGTGAACTCCGAATGCACAATGCAGGTGGGGAGTCGCGCTGACTGGGTTTCCACAGATCAGGCAGGTGGCAGAAATTTCGAGTCGAAAAATGGCAGCGGCCAGAGACCTCTTTTTGGACAGGTCTATACAGTGATGCAGGCAATCGACACAGCAAGGAACCAGAAATTTTTTGTCTGCGATCTTTAAAAATATGAGGAGCTTCTGGTGAACCCGTTTCCAGTGATCTTTTTGACCATTGAACATGATTGCAACTTCAATGGTTACACCGTGGCCCACTGTTTGTTTGTTGCGTTGAACAGAGACTGGGGGGATAACTGGGAGAGGTGTGGGCCTCCTTTACGAGGCAAGTCGCTGACAAAACAAAAAGCAAACAAATTAGTTGTTAGTTTGTTTAGACAGCGGGAGTTCATAGTCTGCCAGAGTGTGGCGACATTGGAATGCATCATACTGCACGTCTGCGCTCAACCGACAAAAGAATTGCGGGCTGCAAAGCGAGAGACGGAGGAAAGCTTATATGCTCCGGTATCAAAAAGAGTTTGTTTCTAAAAATAGGTTGGCGTTCTGGACGTGGAAATAATATCCTCTGGTCGTGAAAATAAACGCGCCTTGTTTGTCAAAACAGCGTGTTGTTTCTGTGCAGGTATGCGGTGACCAAGAGGGAACCATCGTCAAATTTTTTCATTAATTATACACATCCCCTACGCCCAAGAGGGGTGTAGCACGATTGCCCTGCATGCAGAATCCGTGTCGCAAAAGCCCCGCATTATTAGCCTTACGTTTCGAAAACCACGCGTTCCATTACCCCATTCCGTATTCCCCACATGCCAAATGCCCCGTCTTCATCGCCCCCGTCCCATATTCATCTTCGCGCTTCAACCAGCATTGTTCCATGTCCTAACATAAGATGTTGACAATCTACAAAAGGTCTCTTCAGTGGTGCACTCTGCTGCCATGGAGGAAGCTCAAACTCAGAATTATGGACTTTATCTACATAAATGGATACAAATATTTTTAAAATGGAACCGGTATTTGGTGTTGTGATAAGTATGGCACCACGAGTCGAGGTAAACGCTTTTGACAGAACCCACTTCGCAGGAATTGGGAATCTGCACATGCTTCTGAGCAGACAAAAGCTTTGATTCAATGCTTGATAAAAGATATCTAGATGTTTTCGCAGTGACTGGCTTAACTCTTAACGTCACAAGACTTGAATGTGTATAGGGCACGCCTGAAGAAGGTAAAACATTATCCAGCTATTCGTTTTTTTGAGTCCCGGGTGTGGCCTAATTACGTTACACAAGTTTGCGTGCACATGTTACACAATTTTAAGGGATACGCGTCATGGGCCTCTCAAACTGGGGCTTTTGAAAGCGGGGCGAAAAGGGCGGGGTGTTTGCCGCGGGGCATTTGACACGGGGCTTTTAACATCGGGTGCATTCGTGCACTCCTCCCCCCTCCCCCTCCTCTCCTCTCCTCTCCTCTCCTCTCCCCCCCCCCCCCCCCCCCCCCCGCACACACACACGCCACCCCACCCCTAAGAGGTCCTCAAAACAAGCCGCGGAACAAATGAGGAACTGTCATTTATCTACTGTCAATTTCGTCGCAGGAGTCAAGAGACCGAATGCCCCGGAGAATCGGAACTGACCACAGATATAACACATACGCTGTCTTCCTCTGTTCCTTCGTTAGGGTGTATCAACAAATAGAAGTGAATACGACAGCAGAATGCTTTGTTTACAAACTGACGCTTACCTCGCCCCGTGAACTCGATCGCATTCATTTGGATTGTCGTCTGCGTCGCACGGAAGCGGCTCTCAAACAAGTTGAAGTCCGAAAATTGTGGCGGAGGCAAGGCTCTCAGAACTTCCAAGTCATTCAGGAACACTCGCGAAAGTGAAATGCAGAGCTTCGGCTCTTGGTCTCACAGCGACAAAGGTTGGGGCGCCCGGAACGCTGGCCTAATCCGTCGCTCCCTCCTATAATCCTGTCTAATCCCATCGACCGCCATCGAAAGAATTTATTGGATCGTCTCGGCTTGTTGTGTCAATTGAGCCGGCATGTTGTGTTGCATAAAAATAAAACATTATTTTATAACAATTCCATCGATCTAATGACCAAAATTCGTCATTTACGTGAGAGAAATGTTATTTTATCGTGATTGTTTAGGTTTTTTTTAGTTGTTTCAGCTATGTTTCAGTGTCCATTTGGAATGCATTCCAACTTTGCAACATCCGGCTCTCAACAAACGTCTCGGTTTCGGTTTCGATGTTTGCCGCTTGTTTGTGCGCTTTGCATTCCTAAAGAAAACGTATCCCTGCATCTTTCTGGAAATAAAACAAGCTCCGTGAGTGAAGTGACCCACCCAATGGAAATTAACGAAGGAACACAGACAGTGCAGGCGAGCTAGTAGAAGTTTATCCAAACGCTTATGCACTTCGCCTGTGGGCTTGTCAGTCAGCGCGCCACGCCCGTTTGGTACTCTAGTTTGGTGTAAATAATAAAAATAATGTGTATTATTATTATTATTATTTATCTATCTACTTCAGGCCCAGGAAAGCCACGACACAGCAGAAAGACTGGAGCCCATACCATGCAGGCCTGGTGCGGTGGGTGAGAAGCACTGCCTCAATAAAAACCAAATTGGAGAGAAAAAAAGAAAAAAAGAAAACCTTGAACTGCTTTATTTATGGACACGAACAGCCACCTAAAGGCAGCCAATAGCCCTCTTGCAAAATCGTAGCGATCCTAGCATCTAGAGTAGCCGGAGCGGCTAGAGCCAAGCATCTTGGAAACAGTTTCGGTTTCGATTTCCCAAGCTCACTTCACGACATCCCGTTACAACCAAACAGTGCTTCCATTTTGAAATATGACTAAATTAATTATACTGTACGTGCTGCAGTGCTAGAGTTTGCGCAGATGTAGAGGGGTGTCCAAACAGGATCCGTTAGAACGCGTGAAGGGGTGTCCAAACAGGACACTACAAAACGCAAGACCCCGACAAATCGTGACAATTGAAGCGGACGCGCCCGCTTCCATTTTCACGATTTGTCGGAGTCGTGCGCTTTGTAGTGTCCCGTTTGGACACCCCTTGAGGTGACACTTCGCTATATGAAGTGAAAGCAGAAGTCCGGCCGTCCGTCTTGTTTGGACATTCGCCGAGCAAAAATAACGGCCTTTCCTCCTCGTCTCCTCTACTTTTCTGTGACCTCGGTCCCTCGGTGCTCGTCAGACTTGACGTCACACGGCACCTGCCAATGGTTTGCCCGCTGCCTGTCCATCTGTTCTTACGCGCCCTCGTAACCTTCCCGTTTTCGGTACTTGGACAGTAACGGAGTCCTTGAGCGGCTACTAGGATGAGGGGCTGATGTTGCGGTTGAAGAGGGCTAAGAAGACTAGGCCTAGCAGCGGTCATCACCGCTGAATTCAAAGTCGTGGGTTATCTAAGGCACACATGCAATATTAAAAATAGAAAGGAGTACACTTGGTGGGGTTCGTATTCAACTCGATAAACTTTCAGAAATTTATTTTAATTGCCATTTTTTGCTATCTCCGTGGGAGTTCCTCAGTTACCTTGGAAAAAAAAAAAGACACAAACACATTGAAAAAGTGCCAACGGGAATGGGAAATCGTGATCGCCTCGCTATAGCCGCTATTTCGTTATAACCGATTTCGTTGTAAACGGTCGCGGCGCTAGTTCTCTGAGGATTAGAGTCGACCAATAAAACTTTTTTTTTTAGCTTTAAGCTTATTTTGGCGCAGGTGTAACGCATTTCTTAACAAAAATGGCATTTTGGCACAAGACGTAACAGACTTGTTCATGGTGCAATTTGCACAGTACTTTAATCATTGAAGAAGTCTATTCTGGCCAGTTTTCGGGTGGAAAGAAAATGAATTTAGAGCCGCATATTATGTTCTGGGTAGTTGGGCTCTTATAGGTCATGTTCGAATAAAAACCTCGGCGACAATAAATACCTAATTATCCGTGAGCCGAGAGTCGTGCTGCACTCTGGAGTGCTAGCCAGGCCACCAGAAAGGTACAAGACGCAGCCAGTGCTCCTCGCTAACGCTAGGCAAGTCCTTAACGGCCGCTGGAGGCCCGTGTTTGAACGGGCTCTCACGAAGATGAACGGGTGCTATGCGAGCGAGCGATTTTATTTTCATGCGGTGCCGAGGTGCACTATTTCATCAATGGTGCAACGGAAACCATGTCCTTTCCTTCCGTGGCCGAAGAGGTCCTATAATGCAACGTGAGCAATGTTGCATGCAGGGATTTCTGGAAGTAGTGCAACTAAATGCTAAAGACATGTCCGCAGCACTTGCCTTCAGTGTCCTAGCCTGTCAAAAGTTGAGATGGCCACACCGAGACACCTTGGCTATGCAATTTTCACTGCTTGTAGCACATCTAAAAATAAGTTACTACTTGATCAACTATAAATTCATAATTGACACTGAAGTTAAATTTGCTGGGTGGAGCTTTGAACGAGAAGTTTGTCTGCCCCCAGGGGCATCCAATGTCTACGAGACTTTTTTTTTTTTTTTTTTTTCTATGCACAGCCCAAAACATCAAGTTCTTGTTTATTTGATTGATTGCATCATACATCTGGTACCCCTTCACTATGCCCACCATATTAAGGTGCTCGAAAGTGATAGACCTACCATAAAATCATGCATCCTCTCACCTTTTCCCAGTGCTGCTTAATTCAAAATAAGGCAATTCTTATGTGCTCTCATAACTAGTATTCCTTGGTAATGTGTTCAGGCATATTTCTGGCCGTATATAGGAAAAACAAATTCGGTATTCTCGAAGAATACCGAATAAGGAATGCTCCAGTGCACACATTCTAGAATGTGAATCCTAAACATTCATTTTGGACCCCACGCAAGTTCTGCTACAAAATGTTTTAGATTACCGTAATTTTTTGTGTATTGCATTACCACGGTAAGGTCTCATTAATACCCAAACCTAGTTAATATGAATACCCCGATATATATATATTTAATGTTCTTGAGCACAAACTGGGTAAAACATGCATTACCGCCTTGTTATCATGAACAATTCAAGTTATAAATGCTTTTTTGGTCGAGGTGTCCGTATCAACGAGACATTACCGTACATTACGCCCGCTGTAGCGTCCAGGTCACCCATCCGTGAAACCAGTAGTTCATAGAACACCTAAACAAGGTAATATCGAAAGCAAAGTTCGACTACACATTTATTGTTCCTCAATGTCCCCTAAAGGCCTCCCGACAAATACAGCACAGCACGAAGTCAGTACTGGAAATTTCACTGACCTGAGCACTGATGCAGCAGTGCTGGCTTTGCGCTGCACCAGTGTACGGTGCTGTTACAACGAAGCATCACTACTAATAATGTTCAAGACAGCACTAAGTCTATAGTGTTTATTAAGTACCGAGATAGCACTGCATTGCTTATGTGAACTGGCCTTAGCGTGACTAAGAGAATGTTTGATGCGAGACAACACATTGATATGGCCGTTCGACAAAACCTTTTTGTGAGTCACAGAGCTCATTCAAGTCCAGAACTTGAGGCTTGCTGCACCGAAGGGTTTATTGTTAATGCTGCCTCCTAACCGAAGAAAAACTCCAACTAAACTTTGAGATGCGGACACCGCTGCTAAAACTAATGCCAAATAAACAAGTACCTTAGGACACTGGCTTTTCAAACCTCCCCACAAAAGTCTCCACCCTTTCCACTTTAGCAGAGAGATCACTGGAGAGGAAGTGAGTGGAGATCAGCAGAAAGCTCCGCGGGAGGAGCTTGTATAACTTTTATTAACCCGAAACAAATTATGAAAGCCCAGGGTTTCAGAGAGCTCCTAAATTTCCTCGGCTGACCCTCCCCCCTAAGTGAACCTTCAGTTTAAGTACTGTTCTATTAGGTCTCAGCCATCCATAGATGCACATGTATCAGTCAAACACTCCCTAATGTGTGCATTGCCGTTTATAAGGCCTGTAGGCTTCTGCACTGAATTATTGCATCAGTGCCGAGAAAAGGAGGGGTCTCGTGGCTAATGATCGAGAGATTTTCACTCCTTGAGACCGAAAAGTTTGAGAACCCCTGCCTTATGTCACTGGCCCTGCTAAGGCCTTTTGTCCATGCACTTTTAACTGCAGGTTAGTGATTTAGAGCACTGTGGGTTCTCGTAAGGCTTCGCATGTGCATTCAATGTGCCGAAGAGGGTGGATTTCTGAACAAATGATTTACAAACTTCCTGGCACTTAAAAGGCCCGTCCGCGATGTGTGTCCTCGTGTGCCAGGCTGGGCCGGCCCCATTTGAGATAAGGCCATCAAATTAGTGGCACACTCAGAAGGCCTTTGACGTGCATGCCTTCGGACGCGTAACTCGGTGCACACTGTAGACTGAACGACATGGAACAGAGGTGGCACTTGCACTGCGTCTCCCTAGCATACTTACGAGCGCGACTGCCAAAGTCTGTTGTTTGTGAACAATGCTGCAGGACATGTTGGACACGCAAAAGATGCTCCACTGTTGTGAGTCACGGTGGTTTTGAGTCACGGTGGGTTGACTCCAGTTTCGCCTTCTCGGAAAAGGGCCCACGCAGTGCGGGCGCCAAGATAGTTAATTGATCTCCAGAATGGGCGATGAGGTGGCCGATTATGCCACGCTGATCCCTCGAAGCATGGCCGCAGAAACAGCAGCTGAACCAGGTGTCCTCAACGGTTTTTGTAAGATGGCTTGTCTCTTTCGAAGTCTGGCATCCAAGGCCTAAAACAAATACAACCTTCTATTGTAATATGACAAAAACTGCCATACTCTCCACTCTATAAGACGCACCCCCTTCTAAATGTTTTTCTCTCTTAAAGTTTACTATATTGTATGCATCCCACTTCTTTGTAAGGTTAGTGCAACAAGATAGCAACTGTAACTAGGCATATATGTATGGTGATTGTGATATGTTAACAAGTAGGAACCAGTTGCAATATTCCTGCCACCGAAACAAACAAGAAATATAACCCTTGTGAATATATCAAATCGTAGCTCGTCCCACAGTTTCAAAAATTATCGCCTGGCTTGTACTCTCAGAATGCGGGCACACTTACTAAAGTTGAAGCCTGGGCGAGTAGGTATGACATACTTAAAAGGTTAAAACAGCGCAAAAAACGACGGACAGGGTAAAGAAGGACACGGACAGAGCGCTCTGTCCGTGTCCTTCTTTACCCTGTTTGTTGTGTTTTTGCGCTGTTTTAACCTTTTAGGTAGGGCACACTTAACTGCAGTTATGCCAGGCTGCAGTTACCATTCTATACTTATGAACAACGTCCTCTGATTATGCAGTCAAAGATACGGGCACGTGTGCGGTTGCGCATCTTAGCGCCCTTTAAAGCTGCACACGTGCACTCTTTGATTCTTCCAAAATAGCTGTCCGGAAGTATAGCATGATAACTGTGGTGAAGCATAGCTGAAGCCAAGTGTGCCCGTGTAACCAGGGTATTAGACTTTTTGTCAAAAGCAATGAAGTTGATAGCACAGTGATGGGGCTTCTAAGGACCACTTCAGACGGGGCAACTTTTTCAGCAATTTTGGGGTTACTGGTGGTTGTTCCCTAACTTTCCCTAGATTGACACGAAATGCTGAGACCAAGTCTGGCTCGAAACAAGCGAGCAACTCGGAGCAATTTGAAGACGTTTGAAGTGGCAGCATAAATCGGGGGCGCAATATTTTCACGCGATACCCCGTGCCAGTGATGATGACATCTAAATTGTTGGTTTTGGTTTGAAATTGATTATTTTTTGGAAATAAACCATTTCAGAAAGATGAGTTAGTATCCCCAATTCCATTTAAATGTATAAGAATATGCTTGTAGCACGTAACAGTGTGTCTAAATAGTGCAAGAAAAATCAAATTTAATGGTGATGATAGCAAATTGCAGCAAATGGTTGCTGCGTGTGAATGAGGGCAGCCCGCTTTGCTGGTTTGGGACATCAAGTTGCTGTGAGAAATCGCCCCGTCTGAAGCGGGTCTAATGACCGGTACTTTCTGTAGGAATTCAGCAGAGAAAATTCCCGCTAAATGTAGCGGGGAAATTGCTCCGTCACATCACATCACATGTTGTCACGTCACATCACATCCGACGTCACGTGGCAACATAATCTGACACAATGCTGCGACATCGTCACAGCACGTAACATAACGGTGATGTCATGTGACGTGGGGACTTTAAACTGTAGAGTTTCTCATATTATAAAATGAGCGGGGAAAAGAGCAACTTTTTCGTGAGGGTTTATAACCCGGAGTGTGCAAATTACCCGATGTACTTTTATAATACTCTTTTCCCAAAAAATTGAGGCTATTTGTGAGGAACACAAGAATATGCTGAGCAATATTCACACATAAAGAGATAAATTAGGGATGGTTTTTAAAACTAGCTTCTACCATTTATGGCATAGTAAATAGAATGGCCAGATTTACTGTGCTGGGTTCCTAAGTAATGCCAAATTAACACTGAACTAGAAATGGTAATTGAAAACGCAACCAAAAATATGTCAATTCGAAATACTTTGCAGACAAAATAAATACTTAGTAGACGAAATGGCGGACTGCCACAATATCAGGCATGTTTGAAAGGTTTTCTTACCCTTTCAAATGGTGCTGATGGCATGTTTGTAGCGCTATCAAAATGTGCACAGAATGTTAAAATCAGGAACATGATAGTCGCACTCGTTTACTCCGCAAAGCATGGAATTCAAGCATGCCTGTTGGCGGTGCATTTTTTGTTGTGGCATCTCTTTTACTGTCTTGGTATCGAGTGAGCCTTTGAACATGCTTCCCTCTTTGCCTGTGCATTGCCTGCTTACACTTTGAAGGCCCTGAGCTTTCACGTGCCTTCTAAGTAAGTTTGCCATAGTGATTTCCTTTTTTTAAACAATTCGACCTTTTCCCACCATTAGGTACGCCCTACAGTGGCTTCCCAATGCTCCCTTTGCATATCGCAGACGCATTAAACATGCGAGGGATTAAAAAGAGGGTCTTTTTCTATGCTCAAGCTGAAGTGGGGGAGATGCGCTCATTGTGCAACTGCATTCGGTACACGAGTAAATATGGTATTCCTTACTGTGATCCTCATATGCTCACCTTGTTCTGGATACGCTGGTGTCATCTTTTGAAGAAGTTTCTTCAACGGGTCCACGTCTTTGCTCAAGCACTGGTCACGCCACAGTCTGAACCAGTAGTACACTGATGACGGCAAGGGGTTGACAGCGCCATTGGCAAGCAGAGCGTAACCTCCCTCTTGCACCAAAAGTTTGCTCTCGTGCAGCCTGATCGCCTCAGCTGGACACATCCCGTTATGAAAGTAGTCCTGGAATGTGCGCTTAGTCTCAGTCAAAGGACGAAGGCGACGAGGTGCATCTGCAGGGTCCGTGCTGTGAGTGTGGCCTTCTTGGTGGATCAGCTTGATCACGGCAGGCAGTGGCATGTCTCCTCGTAACAACGGGTCCGTCTTCTTGGTGTTCTTGGTTATCTTCTTGATTTTGATGTCGATTTTGGCTGGGCAGTCTGCGCCGGGGTTCCCCCGCACCTTACTTCGCTTGCGTTGGCTGCACCTCCATGTCTTATGAAACACCATTCTGCAACAAGAAATGTCAGCCTTACTGTAGCAGTAGGACGAACAAGTTACTATATGAAACAGTTGTAGTCTAGAAAAGTTAAAGGGGCCTGCCAATGATTTGTAAACCAGTTTGAGATACTCACTTAGACTAACCCCACTGATAGTAGGTGCATGCATTATACATAGCTGCATACATACATCAAACTATTAAAAAATCTCAATAAACGAACTGATTTCCTGAGAGTTGATTGTAGTTCTGGCACTGAGAAAGTGAAATTAACTGCTCTGGTCAAATTTATTCCGATTTTTGTGAGATGTAGTAGGACAAGGCATTGTAGCAAAGTTTGGTACAGCAACAGACCCCTTGTAAAACCATGCAGTGCAATCAACAGGCACCGAAAGGCAGGCCCTCTGGGAAACAGAGCGGGGAAGGGGAGGTAAGCGGCACGGCCACATGAAGGGCGCCTCGCCACCCCGTGGCCTTCCGGGATTTTTGCAAGGGGTCTACTACACCACTGACCTTACAATTAACACTTCAACGTTTCCATAATATGCTAGCAATCTGATTTAGACATGCTCAGGCAGACTGCTCCACTCTTTGAAGCTTGATCAAGGGGTGTGGCATCAAAAGTGTGGCATGAGAGGATAAAGATAAAGCAGCGTAACTAAATCCTTTTTCTTCCTCAATGCCTATGTATCACTGTAATACACACACATTACCTTTGGCATCTGTACGTTGATTTGATGAAGTCGACAATCCAAGATGTGTTTGTGCGGAGCCCATAGTCCTCCACCCACTGACCAGCGGCGACATCATCAGACAGGTTGGCGCGTAGGATTTCAACCTCACTCGATGGAGATTTATCGTCTGTGACAGACTCCATGGTCGTGAAGTTAGCAGGTCTGCACCCATAAATAAGAAGAGCCCACTCATAACATCCATTTATAGTGAAAGGGCAGACAATCATATTTTCTCCTTAATCAATGTCATTACATTAAAGTTAATATGACATACTGCATAAAACAAAGCTGTGCTAAGGGAAACAGCTATAATGCACTCCTGCTGGTGCAGAAAGCATGCTTAGCTACAAGACAGTAGAGGCTTGCAAACTCAGCAGAAGTGAAGAAAGCAAAGAGTGAAGAAAAAGTAAAAAAGAGAGTGATTTCTTTTGCCAAGACAAGATTAACCGTTCTGACAATTGTGAGGCAAATGTATCTCTAACCAGGGCCGTACCCAGAAAAATATTTCGGGGGGGGGGGGGGGGGGGGGGGGGGGGGGGGGGGTTTTCGGGGACAACGGCGGCCATTTTGAAAGTGTCTGTTGTCTTATTTTCGCCTATGAATCATGTGCATCGGTGGCATATAATGGAGAGTTACGGCGAACCGGAGAACCGGTCCCGGTTTGGTACCCGGTAGCCGACCGGCGCCACTGCGCGTGCGCAGAGGTGGAGATTAAAATCGGCTGGCTGCCAGTGCACCGACCAGGGCCGTACCCAGAAAAAAATTTCGGGGGGGGGGGGGGGTGGGGGGGGGGGGGTCAGAACCTTCTATCCCCACCCCCCCCCCCCCCCCCCCCCTGGTTACGGCCCTGTCTCTAACCAAGGAATATGGTGTAATGTCCAGAACGGACCAAGAGGATAGAGATGAACGCACCTGGGGTCGGTCGCACATGGCCGAAGAGTGCCTGCCCATCTCTTCAGGTGGAGTAAGTCGTAACAAAGGACCAGAGCTGAGAACAAGACAGGTACGGTTGAGGTACGAGGTAGGGATTAGGGTGCGCACAGAAGTCCCAGAGATTCCCGAGAAGACAAGGAACCAGGAGGACAGAGATGGACACACCTGGAGCTGATCCCACATGGGCCGAGGAGTGCCTGCCCGTCTCTTCAGGTGGTGAAAGTCATGATGAAGCCCAAAGCTGAGAACAAGGCAGACACAGTCAGTATCTGCCTTGTTTGCAGCACATGGTCAAGGAGGAAGGATGCACGGTATAGTCAAGGCTAAGCTTACGCTGTTATGTAGAATTAATGTTGCAGTGTGCCACCAGCTGGTGGATTAAAACTTGGGTTTGGGCGAGTTGGTTCATACTGATTTAAAAGGTTAAAAAGTGCCAACCATACAAGCACAGAAAGGCACAATAGCGCCTATCCTGTCATCTCTGGGCCTATATTGTACATGTCTTGTTTACATTTTTTAACCTTTTAAAACACCAGCTGTTGCCAACAGGCCAAAAGGAAAATGCAAGTGCTTTCCACGATCTATCGTCCTGCGTGCGAAAACAATTCGCGAGAGCAGAACGGCGCCGCAATTAGTCGACACACGTGCGGATCTAGCAACCAAAGTACGGCGGCTAGAAGTCTCATTGCTAGACGCCTGGTTTAAGAGAGGAAACTGTCACTGGTCAGCGTATCTCATTTAAAGGGGCTAGGTGTAACTTTAGTAGCTAACAGTTTAATGCGAGAAATACAGACCTGAATTCCTATCCTTCGGTGTAACAAGTAGCAAAATGCTTGAAATGAATTCGATACAGAAAAAACCCAGTGCTACCGAGATCATACTTGTAATGAAATGGGTAGCTTGGCATTGGGGACATATGGGAATAGATCAAATGAGGGAGTACAGGGGGATATGAGTTGGGCATCTTTCGAGAGTAGAGAAGCAATCAGTAAAGTAAACTTTGAACAGAGACTAGTTGAATTTGAGGATATGCAGTGGCGAGGGAAGGTGTACAAGTATCTATATAGACCAACACGCGGCCCTGACGTCACACAGCTGCGGTGGCGCTGTCGATGGCACTGCACATGCGCAAACGCTTCAGTTCACGCAAAATCGTTTTCTGAGCACACGCAGTGCCCACACCTGGTGTGGGCAAACGCCGGCTTGTTTGTAAACAGCGTGTCGGTCTATATCAGGGGTGGCCAAGCTGCGGCTCTTCGCGTGTTAAAGTAGGGTTTGTGGCTTCCTCCCCTAGCCCTCTTCCCCGGTCAGATGAGCACTTCCCCAAAAAAAGAAATGAAACGCATTTTAAATCGAAAGACAGGTTGCGGTTTGGCAGTTTCGTGCTACTGCTACCTTACGTACAATTTGGACTTGGATAGATTGAAATTAATTCGAGTTTTGTTTATTGTTCTTGAAAAAAGTTTGCCCCCCCCCCCCCCCCCCCTCCACAGCTCTTGGAAGTTCCGTGGTTTTGTTTGCGGGTCTTAGGCTGGGACAGCCTGGCCACCCCTGGTCTATATGAAAAGTCTAAACACTAAGTGGACAAACCGAACCCACAATGAGATGGGGCTGATCAGAGCATATCAGTAGAAAAGGGAGTAAAGGAAATGAGGAAATAGTGGGAAGAGAGAATGCAGAGAAATCAGCTTTAACAATATACATGGCACAAAAACAAGAAATAAAGAGGGTACAGCTGTATGATAATTCGGTAGGGAGCTCATTGCTGTTTGAAGCTAGAACAGGGGTACTAAGAACGAAAACATATAGGGCTAAATTCCAGGAAATAGACACTCTATGTGACGTGCAATCGCTGAAGGGAAACTATAGGTAATTAAACATGAGCAAGATACAAAGAAAGGGGGGACGTCCCCCCCTTTCTATGCATCTTCCTCATGTTTAATTACTGTTACCAACACGCTCGTTTTGTACTTACTTACTGAAACTACAGGATGTGTAATTGTAGGATGCACGGGGCTTTGTCCCACCCTCTTGGGGGGAGGGGATGACAAGGGATTTGGAGGGGGCACTGGGATTTGCAGACATGGAAGGACGAATGGATAGGGAAATAATTGTGGTAACTAAGAGGAGATTGGAAGACTGGTGGAAAAGATCTAGGGACAGGTGAAATTACAAATAAAAATAAGCAATAGTAACACTTTAACGGGGGAAAGGGAGGGGGGGGGGGGGGGGAGTTTTGTTCAAACAATTTATACAATTTTTTTAAAAAAGAAGAGATGACGAAATGTCAGGCTAGGTGGCGCAAGCTGCTGCCCGTTACAAATGGTATAGCCACTACCATCCATACATCCAGCTGTTTCCGCAATACACAGACTTTTCCCGCCTTCCTCCCTCAGCAACCATCGTGATATGTAGGAATCTTCAAAGTGACAGCTCTCAATTCGAACATAGATCGTCCCAACATACTTGTGCTAAAAGTAATTTTAAATGCCTTCTCCAGCATTGCAAAACTTTAAGTGTTTCAGAAGTGTTCCAAGTTGGGCGAGTTGGTATGAAGACATGGTGAAGAGAACAGCGCACAAAAAGGCAAGGACAGAGAGAAGGAACATGCACAACACACAGGCGCTAACTCGCAACTGAATTTGTACACAAAAGGAAGAAGACGACTTTCTGAAAGACACACAGGTCACGCAGTGTATGTCACATGCAACACAACACCATTTAACTACAATGTCTTTGCCTCATAGTCCGACCTAAAAGCAAGGTTTCGTTTGAAGCACTGTCACTGATGAGTGGCTAATGCAGCAGTCCCCCCAATGCGCTTCCAAGATTTCTCGAGCCGTCTTGTCTCGATAATGTCTAATTTTTGTTGTGCCTTTAGGAATTGGAGTAAACGAGCATGAATTGCAATGTACGGGAAGATGACCGCCCACCATAGATTTCAGTAAACAATCATGCTCGAGAAGGCTATTGTCCACGCACTGTACAGTTTGGCCCACATAGCCGAACTGGACGGTGCGTGGACGATCGCCTTCTCGAGCATGATCGTTCAGTGAAATCTACCGTGGGTGGTCATCTTCCTGTACATTGCAATTCATGCTCATGTTCTCTGATTCTTAAAAGGCACAACAATAATTGGACATTATCAAGACAAGACGATTCGCGAAATCTTGGAAGCGCAATGCATCAACAGCTAGGGGGACTGCTGCATTAGCCACCCATCAGTGACAGTGCTTCAAACCGAAACCTTGTTTTAGATCGGACTATGTGCCAGACATGGTAGTTAAATGGTGTTGTATCGAATGTGACACGCGCTGCGTGCCTTGCGTGTCTTTCAGAACGTCCTCTTCTTTGTTTTGCGTATAAATTTAGTTGCGAGTCAGCGCTTGTGTGTTATGTATGTTCCTTCTCTCTGTCCTTGTCTTTTTGTGCGCTGTTCTGTTCACCATATTAATGTTGACGTGATAGACGCCGCCACTTTCAACCTCGTTGGCGACCATCCAGTTTAACGGTTCAACTGAGGGAATTTCGGTTGTGCCAAACTGTCACAAACGAACCAGCGACCGTTAGCCGCACCCTAGCCAATTCAGATTGATCGAACTCATCGAACTGCTGTTATTTCATTGGCAGTTTAGGGCGCTCGTGTGATCAGGGTTATTGTTCAGGTGAGGAGTCTCAGTTAAAAGCATAAAACCGGACATACCTCACGCAATCAGTTTCAGCCGATTGAAGCGTAGTCAACTGTTAACCCCCGAACCCCCTCAGTTGCACCGGTTGCACGGTCGGACCAGAACAGGGGTGGAACCACAGTTTAGGATGGCGCCTCCCACTGTGGCGCCACCATCGAGTGAACAGCAGCGCTCGCGTGGTCGGAGGTTGGTCGAAGGCAACGTTATTGTCGGAGGCGCTCATTACTAAAAACTAAACAAAATAATAATTAATCAAACGTCATTTAGCTCTAGTTATAACTGCATATTATTTTAAGTTTGTGTACTTTCTTTTTTTGTGTGTGTTTTTTGCGCTTTCAAAACGAAACCGCTGCCTGTGCGCATGCACGCTTGCGCTTTGCGCGCTTCGAAACCGTGTCATCGTTGTACGAAGCGTTCGTGAGTCTGCTCGGTGCTTTCGCTTTCGCTCGCCTTCGGTGCGTCAAGCGTCGGCGCCGCGATCATCGCACTGCGCGAGCCTCGCACTTTCAGGCGAGTGGAAGGCTTTTCGTGTCTTTGCGGTTACGCTAAGTGGTGCCCAAGCAGCGTCGGGACCAGAAGCACCCGTTCGTTCGGATCCCAACTGACGACGGTGAGTTTTTCCTAAGCTGATCTTCCAGCCACAAATTGCACCATTTGAGGGCTTTGTACTCCTTTAGGTAATTGAATATATCGTTTCATTTTTGAAAGTCACAAAATATGCCACCGTGGTTTCATTGCAATTCACACGTTTCGGCGAGAGTTTTTAGCACGTGGATTTTGTGGATGAAGACTGCGTCCTGCATATATTGTATGATTTGTATGCTGTTGGCGAAATCTCACCTCCTCTACCTCTTGTAGATTTCGTGCGCAGCGTAAATCCCCGTCGAGTAAATTGTAGTCTATATATAAATATTATTCTGACAGTTTTATAATATTTCACAGAGTTTATATCTTATATAATATATCTGCCCGTTTTTATTAACACAGCCCTGCGAGTAGTTTGCCATGTTTTCTTTCTTTCAGAAATAAATAAAAAGCTGGATAGTAAAATAATTTAATTTCGAAAGACACCTTTAAAATCTCGAAGGATTTACTCATAAAAGGGCAGAATGCAGACATCAGAACTTGATCGCGAAATTTACTGCTGTCCGTCCTTCTATGTGTAATTCTTCCGAAAGTTTTTACACCTACCAACGCACTCTTTTCAAAACCATTAAAACTCACGTTAGGCTTTTTTTCTTCCCCCGTTTGTACATAAAATAGCAACATTTGCATTATGTCTTCTTTTTTGTGTATCCATACAGATTCTCAAGGCATGAAAATCACTCCAACAAGTCTGAGGGACATGAAACCCCAATAACCAAAAGGTAGTGTCCGTGGTAGTGATGCAAAACTATAGATAAATTGACTATCGATACTATCGATAGTTTTTCCAAAACTATCGATAGTGTCGCAGAACTATCGATAGTCGACTATCGATAGTACTATCGATAGTTTTTCGATAGTCGACTGTCGATATTACTCTCGATAGTTTTCCGACAGTCAACTATCGAGAGTTTTTCGATAGTACTGTCGATTCCTTTTTTTACTATCGATACTCAGTTTTCTGGTGACTATCGATAATACTATCGATAGTTTTGCACTACTAGAGCGAACACAGTTGCCGCACCGCCGCTCGCTTCCCCTTCCTCCTCTTTTCGGCCAAACTCCCGTCTTCGTCACCACTGAAAGCTGAACCAAAGTTGGGATGGTAAGTTCTTGGGCTAGTTGGTGTCCCATTTGAAAAAAAAAAAATAAAGCGAGAAAAAGAGACGAGGGAGCGACGCACACTACTAATGTCGCATAGCTATCGATAGTAAACTGTCGACAGTACTATCGATAGGTTTACGATAGTCGACTATCGATAGTTTTCTGATAGTCGCTTAACAACAATTTTCCGATCGTCGAGTATCCATAGATTTCCTATAGTCGACTATCGATAGTTTTTCGATAGACGACTATCGATAGTACTATCGATAGTTTCTTTTACTATCGATAGTCAGATTTCTGGCGACTATCGATACTATCGATAGTACTATCGATATTTTTGCACCACGGACTCCGTGGTCACTTTTTTTGTGAAGTGCACTTGATTGCTGGCCAAACTATCAAGTTGAATATGTAACCACCACCATGCTATGTTCCGCCATAGTAATCTATGCAGTCTCATCTACGGTCAACTGTAATGTGAAACGAGAGTGGCTGGTGCAGAGAGGATGATAACAAAAGGATAGTAGGAGCAGCACCTCTATGGAATGTTTCATAGCCATGTTTCTCTTCTGTAAGTGTGTGTGTGTTGCGACGAGACAAACTAATGTGTTCTTACAATGTCTTGTGCAGATCTTGAGAGGATAGAGAATACACATACAGCAAAAATAAGAAAGAACAATGAAGTGGCTGGTCCATCCCATGGGCATCATGGGATCTCGGTGGCCAGACCGAGAAAACCTGGTTCAACCCATGATTCACCTTGATGGTGCAAGCGACGAGTGTCGGAAGCTCATCAAGAGGCTAAGAGGAATGAGAAATACCCAAATAGTCTGCAGAGAGCAAGGTCTACACAGTATTAAGGAATATGTCTCTAAAGATTTTGGTTCAGGTTCGTAAGGAAGCAATGAATAAGTTTGCCCGAATAACAATGCATTGTGTTAACTTTTTATTTGCATGGACCAGTCAGAATGACACAAGTTTTCAACTGGTCATGAAATCTTTCGGCTGTGCTTCTTGAGACCCTTGAGAGACAATGTTGTCCACTGCATCAGCAGGTGGCTCCTTGCATGATTTTTATGGAGCAAGATCATAGGCTAAAAGAAGCCTCTAAGCATCCACTTTGTTCAGACAAGTTGTTAGTCTGCTGGTGGCCAACAACCTTTAAACAATTTTTTTTTTTTTTTTTCTTTTTTTTTTTTTTTTTTTTTAGAGGGAGGGGGAATATTTGTTGCTTCGATCTAGTGATAACAGGATCTTTTGCAGCTAGAATTCAAACTACGTACTTGGAGAGTTTCACTCTTCGAGATCAAGTTTTGCTGGATAATATCTGACCCACTAAAATTTGCGTTATTCTTATTACACAGGTTGAACAATTGATATTTTATCAGTGATCTACGTTCAGGTTGGTGTTTGAGATTCCACAAACAATGACCATTTAAATATATTTTTAGACATACGTACCTCACCGATAGGGCCGTTTGCATACAATTCTCCGGCCAGGGCTGCACACTTCTTCACACTGGGCTTGCTTCTAAGTAACACGTATCAGAAATTATAATTATTGTGTTTTCATGCCACAGACACATTTATGTTTGCTATTACAGTATTTTCTCTTTAATCTGGACATATCCAGTCATCAAAAGAATTCTCCGGTGTTAGTCATCGATAATCATGAATCAATGCCAAGATCTCCAATAATAAACCATGAAGGTGGTATGTTGTTAATTTTTGTCATCTGCAACTGGGATAGCAAAAGAACTGCAAGTGATTCAGGCTGGAAACCCCTGAAAGTTTTAACCATTGTCAGTCACCATTGTCTTATCTGAAATTGGTGAAGCTCCGGGTAAATTCTGTAACCGAAGAGCTTTACTATACTTTTTGGTCCCACAAATATTTTCTTTTTCTTTTCTTTTTGCATTTGTCTTTACAGAGACCACAATAAAAAGCTAAAGACATGTATTTACCCATTTCGTTTCCAAACTAGCTGTCCATAGTCCATACTCCAGGTCTCTGTATTAACGTAATGAAAGTTGTGCTTTACATACGGCTTCACGCACATTGCACTCGCAAAACATATCCATACGGCGTTGATTCTTGATCGGTATCCAAGAGTGCAAAGGTGCAGAGACGCAGCACTTTGAAGTGCCAAGGAAGCTTTGATCCCGCCGCGAGACCGGCGAAACTTGCTTTTGACGAGTTGTGCTTTTTTTCCTGCGGCAGCGCGCTTTCGTAAAAATTTTTATGTGTTCACAACAGCCAGCCTCAATGGTTTCACAGGGTCTTAAAAAACTTCTTTGGCGAATGACGACGAACGAATAGAAAACGTATCTTCAGCAAGCTGCCGCTAACCTCTGCAACGCTAGCAAAACGGCAAATCGTCTACGAGCAAGATGGCCGTCTGGTGGCTTCACTTGCGCTGCAGCGAACAAGCGGAGAAGCGCAATCCAGCAATTGTCATAGAGATCAGTGAACCTGTCGAGCTTGATGTCACAACACCAGCCGCCCACATTCACACGCAGCAACCAATTACTGCAATTTGCTATCATCATCAATACATTTTATATTTCTTGTACTATTTAGACACACAGTTACTAATTTTCGATTACGGTAATCTTTTGTGTGTTGCATTACTACATTAATAAAAAACCTCAATAAAATGAATACACCGATATATAGACAACATTTTTAGGCACAAACTGGATAAACATATGCATTACCACCTCGTTATTAAGAACAACTCGGGTTATGAATGCTTCTCTGGCCGAGGTGTCCGTATCAACGAGACATCACTGTACATTACGCCTGCTGTAGCGTCCAGGTCACCCATCTGTGAAACCAGTAGTTCATAGAACACACAAACAAGGTAATGCTGAAAGCAAAGTTCGACTACACATTTATTGTTCCCTGTTGTCCCTCTAGAGGCCTCTCGACAAATACAGCACAGCACTAAGTCAGCACTGGAAATTTCACTGACCTGAGCACTGATGCAGCAGGTCTGACTTTGCGCTGTATCAGTGCACGGTGCCGATACAACAAAGCATCACTGCTAATTACATTCAAGACAACACTACGTCGGTGTTGTCCATAGTGTTCATTGAGCGCCGAGATAGCAGTGCATTGTAGATATATGTGAATTGGCCTTAGCCTGACTGAGAGAATGTTTGATGTGAGACAACACAAGGAGATGACAGTTCGACAAAAGCTTTCTTGTGAATCGCAGAGCTCATTCAAGTGCAGAACTTGAGACCTGCTGCACCGAAGGGTTTACTTATTGTTAAAACTGTCTCCTAACCGAAGGAAAGCTCCAACTAAACTATGCGAAATAAGCAAATACCTCGTGACATTTGGTTTTAAGACCTCCTCACAAATCTCTCGAGTCCTTCCACTTTAGCAGAGGGATTGCTGGAGAGAAGTGAGTGGAGAGGTGGAAACCACCAAACATGGTCAACACAAAACTTTGTGAGAGGAGCTTGTAAAACTTGTATTAACCCAAAACAGACAATGAAAGCCCAGGGTTTCCCTGATCTCCTAAATTTCCTCAACTGGCCCCCCCTTTAAGTCAACCTTCAGTTTAAGTACTGTTTTACAAGATCTCAGCCATCCATTGATGCATAGGTATCGGTCAAACACTCCCTAACGTGTGCATTGCCGTCTATAAAGTCTGTAAGCTTCTGCACTGAATTACTACATCAGTGCCAAGAAAAGAGGAGATGGGCACTCCTTGAAACCGAAAAGTTTGAGAACCCCTGCCTCACATCGCTGGCCCTGCTAAGGCCTTTTGTCCATGCACTTTTAACTGAAAGTCAGTGATATAGAGCACTGTAGGTTCTCGTAAGGCTTCGCATGTGCATTTGAATGTGCCGGAGAGAGTGGATTTGTGAGCAAATGATTTACGAACTTCCTGACACTTGAAAGGTCCGTCCACGGCGTGTGTCCTCGTGTGCCAGGCAAGGTTCCTTTTCAAAGAAGGCCATCGGACTAGTGGCACACTCAAAAGGTCTGCGACGTGCATGCCTTTTGCGACGCGACGGCTCGATGCACACCGTAAACCGAACGACGCCAACTAGAGGCGGCACTTGCATGGCATTTCCCTGGCATGCTTTCAAGCGCGACTGCCGTGTTTGTCATTTGTGAAGAATGCTGCTGGACATGGTGGACACTCAAAAGATGCTCCACTGTTGTGAGCCACGGTCTGTTGACTCCAGTCTCACCCCTTCGGAAAAGGGCCCACACAGTGCAGGTGCCAGGATAGTCAGTCGGTCTGCAGAATGGGCGATGAGGTGGCCGATTATGGCACACTGATCCCTCGAGGCATGGCCACAAAAACAGCAGCTGAACAGAGCGCCCTTTACGGTTTTTGTTGGATGTCTTGTCTCTTTCCAAGTCTGGCATCCAAGGCCTAAAGCAAAAACAATCTTATATTATACAACAAAAACAACCATTAAGAACAAATACCTCCGACTTGCATAACAATACCAACAATTTATCAGACGTTTCGTCTCCTATGCGGGAGACATCATCAGTGCGGCGTTGGATTGCTGGTAGCTAGTCGGGTGTTCCCAGGCCGCACTGATGATGTCTCCCGCATAGGAGACGAAACGTCTGATAAATTGTTGGTATTGCTATCCAAGTTGGAGGTATTTGTTTTTAATTATGAATGCCGGCTTTTGGAACATTTTTGTATAAAAACAACCATACTTTTTACTTTATAAGTCGCGCAGCCTAGAGCCACTAAATAAGCTACGCTACAGAGAAACGACACTTACCAAGAATAAATGTTTGGCAAAGTAAATTCCCAGGTATTTAGTTGCTGTTGCATATGCTAGTGGTGTACAGCAACAATTCCTGCATTCCGCTGAATATAAAAAGATGGGTTCTGTGAGGTCAATACGCTTTTGATGGGTTCTGAAGCACATTAGATCAGTCTTCTTTTCATTTACAAAAATAAAGTTTTTAAAGACCAGTTCATTATTTGTCTAAGGACTATGCCCCGAAAACGAAGTGCCTCACCAGATTGTGCAGAAAGATGTCAAATTTGAGTGGACTGACGAATGTGAGACGCCATTTCGGAGATTAGTCCAGATCTCTTCTGACCCGGTTCTATGTCTATCCGACTTGTGGCTTTCTTTTGGGATGAACACCGACGCTCCTCATTACTGCACAAGCTGTCCCATACCAGTGGGATATCACACAGCAAAGTCATTGGCAAATGCGGGTTGTTGGCTGTTGCAGCTGCACCTTTTCAAAGCCAGAGATAAACTACACGACCAGCGAGGAGGAGGCGCTAGCAGTTCTGAAAGCTATAAGGTACTTTTGCTCGTACCTAGAGGGAGCAAGATTTAAGTTGTTCACAGACCAGCAAGCCCTCCACACATCTGCTCAACATGACTCAGCCTGAAGGACGATTAGCAAGGTGGATCAACCAGCTCCAACAGTTTGACCTTGAGATATCCCATCGACCCGAGGTCTACTTGACAGATGCGGATGCTTTGTTTAGGCTGCTAAACTCACAAATTGTGGACAGCCCAGGAGCCATAAACCAGGCGGAACTCTGGGAAGGTACCGAAACTTTGATGGAAGGTACCGAAACTTTGATATTTAAAGATGGAAGGTACCAGGTATGTACCATGCTTCCAGCACACTCGTTCCCAAAGTACTGATGCTCTAGCATGACAGCCCAGAGACGGGCAGTCGCGACTGATTTCTAAGGACCAACAAAAAACTGTCAAAAAAGGTTCTCGTGGCCGAACATGAAAAACGAGACGAAACGGTACCGTATTTACACGAATGTGGGTCGACCCATTTTTCAATTTTTGAGAATCTGAAGTGGGGGGGTCGACTTATAATCGAACCGAAGCATTCCACCGCTGACAAAAACGAAACAATCGCAATATTAACACCACCTTGGCTTGTTACGAGTTCAGCCGGCTGTACCTGTAGCATTGCGCTATTCCGTGCGCTCATTTTACAAATTCTTTATCTTTTTTTTTTTTTGCGCTAACGAGTTTTATTAAATTTTCCGCCTGCAAGTAACGAGTGCTCGTGTGTTTTGAACTCTGAGCATCCAGTATCAAAAGCAGAGCGGCCAAGCGACGGCTCCGACGGGCACACATTGCAGCAGACAGAGATGCTCTGCTCACTGGCATTTCGTATGGCTATGGCGCTGCGCTGCTAGGGCCGTTCTCTCTACTAGCCCTGCACTCGAATGGCTGCGCATATGACTTCACCATCAGTGGATTCCCACCCAGCCCCAAGCGGCAAACATCTTGAAGCTCGTCAAGAGTCGCCGCAAAGCGTCAATTGAGCGCATCTTGGTGTCCCGAGCTAGCGTCACACTAATTGCGAGACGCTGCACCACGCACTGGCGGCGATAGTCACGCAAGCGAGGTGGCACTGCATGGATCCACCAGTGATGACGTATGGGGAGGGGGGGAAGGGGGGGGGGGAAGGTGCAGGTCTTGTCTTCTATAGTAAGTTACAGCTCAAGAAGGTAGGGCGAGAGAAAGGAAGGCTAAGGAGGAAGAAGCAGACTGAACGCTGGAGAGGAGAGTGGGAAGCCTCTTCCCCTCTCCAGCGTTCCGTCTGCTTTGTCGTCCCCGGCCTTCCCTTCCCTCGCCCTACCTTCGTGAGTTGCAACAAACTATAGGTGGCACTGATACAGCACGAAAGTTGTGCTGCGCGAGAGCAACTCATACTTACTGCCTTAGCTGATTAGGCATCCGATAGACATACCCTTCCCACAAAGTAATGGTACATACCCACAGTGAAAGTGACTTTGACACATCTTGAATGCAACTCCGGCCGTTTGGCAAGAACGTAGACACCACGTCGTGTCACTTCGCCGACCTTCGAACAGCTCGAAACGAGGCTCGTGACTGTGCGGCGTCCCCTCTGATATTCCCCTAAAGAAATACTCAACCAAACACTTTAGTGTTCATAATAGGTGGCGCACATTTTTTCCACGAGCCACCAGCTGTTGCCTGTCATCTTAAGCGTGAATGGGGGACTATAACATCAATTTCGTTGCGTTTGCTCGCACACACCAACGGCTGCTGGCTCGTGGAAAGAATGTGCGCCACTTATTATCGACACTAAATTGTTTGGTTCAGCATCCCTTCAACTTTCTATTGTCAAGTGCTACTGGCACAATCGCTTTCGTAATTGGAACAATGACATTAACGGAAATATTGAAACTGAAATGTCGCGAGTGACTGCGGATCAAACTTCTCCAGAGCTAGCGGCACAGAGGAATCCGGATCGCTCGACGTACACCACCACTTTCCCACGGGTCTGTTGGAGCTGCTCGGCGAGCGCTCCACCGGCTTCAGATCTATGAGTGCCGCTCGGTAAATGCATGCTAAGCGCCCACTATTTGCCAGGGGAAAGGGTTATTAGACAGCACTGATACAGAAAGTCATTTACCAGCATAGATCAGAAGATGCGTGATTATGTTCTGCTGGGCACTGGTGACATAGGTGCAGGAACAACATCCGAAGTGGAGGTCCTTGGTGACTCTCAACAGGCAGCTGGACTCCTCACCATCTGAGTCTTCAATGTCAGAAAACAAAAATTATATTGTCAACAGCATTAAACGCAAACACAAAACAAGACAACAATACATGCAAGAACTCTAGAGGGCTAAAGAGTTTCTAAGTGAAGGTTTTTTCTTATACCGTCTATTGCTAGCGCAAAACCAAAAAGTTTAAAGGTGTGGTGAACTTGGGAGCATAGGAACTCGAGGGCAGTTACAAACCATGCAAAGTCATCAAATCATTGTTGTCTTTATTTCACTTAATTGTCCGTACATGGCCTGCGTGCTTGATTCGCAGGCAATTGTTTCCTTTTACTTGTATCACTTCAAAGCCGAGAATGGGTATATTTAAATATACCTATTCTCGGTTCTGTGACAATATTGCAACTTGAATGACGTCACTCGTAAAGACAGCTACCCTTCGCCTTGTATGCAAAAAGCCCTGCAAACTTTGCACAGAGGTCAGTACTTTGCTTTGTTGGACCTAAAATCAGGCACTGGTAGATTTTTATGTCAAAATCTGAGAATCTCAGACCAGCTTTCATGTCTCTCTATGTCTCTCTATCCTGTATCGCTTGGCTTTTGTAATACCCTCAAACATCTGAGGATGATTTACTTCATTTTTCAAAGGCAAAAATGGCACACAAGTCACTGTTGCCTATATCATGCTATTGTGTACTTTCACGTTTTAGAGGATGTTGCCTGGCTGTCCAACATATATTGGGGATCGCTGAAGGGGGTTTACAATTAAACAGAAAGCGTCCCCTTGCTGCCATTGAATGAAAGGCTCGAGGCCATTTGATCACACACAACAGCAACTGTCCAGTCCCGGGTAAACTAAGAGAAAAATCCTCCTCTCCTCGGCCTGCTAACGCATGGCAGCTAAAAGGTTTCTTCAAGATTATGCTCACACTTCTGTCGTTTAATTTGCGGTTTTGTGAACCTGGCTGGTTGACTTGCTGGTTCAGCCATTTGAAGCTCGGGCAAAAAACACGTAGGTAAGTTGCTGGCGCTTGCCAGAGAATCACCAACACTGCACGCTAGCCAAACTATCACCAAACGAAGGCTATTGCCAGGAATTCGGCTAAAATGTGCCAAATTCACCATTAGACACACCAAAAACTATTTTCTTTATTGATCAATGAAATAATGTACGATAACATTCTAAAGATAAAAACCCGGCCCCATGATTGCAGGTTTACGGTGTCCCTGATATTGGTTCCCTATTGCACAAAATCGTAGCGGCAGCCGGCGTTGTTCTTTTTTTTTGTTTGTGTGAAATTGTGCCCTCTCATCCCCCAATGATTGCCTAGCAAATCTTTTCCAGCTTGTCTTCACCCTAGGTGTGCATTTTTTGGGAGTGTTACGACGGGCGGCATGAAGCTGTGCACCTGAGTGATTTCCAGTGGCAGCGACAAGGTTGCCATTTGCACCTTCGGAGTGCTGCTGTGTGTGTAGATGCCCTATCGACACCACTTGGTGTTCCTCAGAGGGGGGGGGGGACAGGTCATGGTTGCAATTCACTCTCTGAAGAGGGTAATTGCAGGGAACTGCAATGACCCCCTTCAGAGGGACCTGCTGCAACAGGCCAGGCTCTCAGCTGCAAAGCTTTCTCCTGCAGGCTGGTAGGACTGCAGCTACTAAACAAGCAAAGCAGGCTGATGATTGTGTCAGCTTGCCGGCACTCCCAGACAGGCTTCTTTTTTTTACTTGTTTCACATTTTAGCGAAAGCGAAGTTAATATTTGCGTTACGTGTCCGTAATTGTAATGTGCCATAAAATTTAGCTAAATGTAGCGGGTTAACTTCTAAACTTAGCAAATTAGTGTTTAGCTAAATTCGGCAGGTTAATGTCCTGCTAGATTTAGCCAGATGCCACAACGAATCATGTGGTCACATGGTTTGTGCTAAAATGAGTCGTAATCACATAGTTAATGCTACTATGGGTCACACATATGACGTGTGTAAGACCATGTCAAAGCATGTGGCATCACGGTGTCACATGACTCGTGGTTAGGGTTGCCACCTGCCCAATCTTGGGCCGGTATGGCCGTTTTTTTTTTGGATAGCAGGCCGGTTACTGGTCTGTATCTGAAACCGGCCTGTCACTTAACAAATTTTTAAACTACCCACATGCATTTCTTTTTTTTCTTTTGTGGAGGGGAGGGAGTTTATCAGCACATTCTAGACCATCAAGCAAAAACTACCTAGCAAAAAAAAATGCTTGTAGACAGATATTTTTTGAGAAAGAACGTGACAATGTCATGTGCTGTCACGATATCATGTGACTGTGCCACATGATGTGGCATCACCATCTTGACACTATGACTGTCACAATGTCATGTGACTGTGTCACATGGTGTGGCATCAACATCATGCCATATGTCCCACATGACGTGACACCAACATCATGACACGACTGTCAGTGCCATGTGACTGCCACATGATGTAACATCAAGTGACACTATGACTTGACATCATGTTACGTCACGTGAAACCATTACTTGAAACTATGATGTCACGCCACATAACACCATGACTTGCCACCATGATGTCACATCACATGACCACGTCGCATGCCAGTGTGGGTCGCTTGAACCTGTGCACATGGAGGGTTTCTAGCAATAGCTACAAAGTTGCTATTAGAACCTTCAGGGGGCTGCCGTGTGTGTGGGTGCTCCATCGACCCATCTCGGGGTTCCTCAGACAACGGGGACAGATCTTGGTTGCTGGCCACTCCTTGCAAGTTGTCATCGCAAAGGGTTACGAAGGGAACTGGCACCTCACAAGGCTGGGCTGTCAGCTTTGAAGCTTGCTGCTGCAGGCTGCTAGGGTCTGCAACAGCCAAACAGGCAACCTATGATTATGGCAACTGGCCTGCACTTTCTAGCGAGACTTTTCGGTCCTTAAATTTCGAGTTCGGTACAGGTTATTCCATAGGCTCTGTACAACTAGGGTCTCAACACTTGAGACAGAGTTCATTGGCTTTCTATCAGATATTTGAAAAAGTTAGCACTAAGCCAGTGGCATAGCCAGGAATTTATTTTGGGGGAGAGGAATCATTTAATGATTATGTATATTACAGGGTTGGCTGCATTTTGTGGGGAAAGAGAGCAGGCTCAGACTCCCCCCCCCCCCCCCCCCCCCCGGGGGCCGCTGATGCGTTTGTTCTGAGCAATTCTTTACACACTGGTATATTTCAGTGTATGTACGGCAATAGAGCAAACCTGCAAATAAAGCACGGTTGGTCAATTGCTTCCTTCATAAAGTAGGAGACACTCACAATTCAAGCTCACGTTTCATTCCGTTGCTCGCGGGACGCGATTTCTATCAGAAAATCTACTTTTTTTCCTTTCGGTTCCGCGACACATTGTAGCAGACGAACCCTCGTCGTCTGCTCTCGCTCCTCGCAGGAGCGAGGCATGACGGGATTGCATTTTGGCGCACTCCCGATTTTCTCGGTGCAGCGAGTGCATGCACGCGTGGGGTGCCAGCGCTGAAACGAACTCGGAAAGTGCGATCACTCGTGGAGTGTCGGCTGAAACGAACCCGCTCCACGCTGGGAGTGGGCACGAGTGCCGTGAAACGAACTCGCTATTTTTTTTTTTTTTTTCTTTCGCCAGGCAGGGTTAGTTAATTATACTGAAAACGGTCCAAAGCTGGTTACCTGTGACGAAATGAGCCCCGCAAAATCGGGACTGCCCGCTTAGCTCCCAAGCTTCCGTTGGGTCTGTCGGGTGAACCCCAGGGTCGAGCTTCTCGGACGGGGACCCGGGAATCGCGGGTTCGAGCGCCGCCTGTCGCTCTCGCTCGTACCGTCGACGACGAGCTTCGGCATCCTTCGCCCGCTGTTCGGAAGAGCGGTTGGCGTAGCGTTGCCGGTTTCTCGCGGCTTCAACGTGTTCTTCGTAGCGTCGACGACGAGCTGCGGAGTCCCTAGCCCGCTGCTCGGAAGAACGGTGGGCGTAGCGATGACGGTTTCTCACGGCTTCGTTGTGTTCCTCGTAGCGTCGACGGCGAGCCTCGGCGTCCTTCGCCCGCTGCTCGCACGAACGACTCACGTAGCGTTGGCGGCGACGGGCAGCCGCCGAAGCCCTCTCCTCGGATGAGGCGCTTGCACGCCGGGCTCGGTCGGCCTCGGTCTTCCGACGCTTACGCGCGCGTTCTTCTTCGTCGTCCCCGTACCTCTCCTCCGGGGGCATGGAGAGCAGAGTTTTGAGGATGCTGCCATTTCCAGTTACTTCGTGAATATGGGTAACTCGGGAAAACATTCCGCGTCTTCGTAGCTCGCCCTTGACATTTGGTTTGTTTTGGCAAAGCCGCCTGTATGGCGGCTTTGGTTTTGGTCACTTGTCGTCAGCTGGGCCAGGCCAGAGCCCCGGACATTTCCCCCGTAGAGCCAGTAGAGTCGACTTTTGTACAGTAGCGCCGAATTCCTCGTCTGTGGTGGGGGGGCTCTCATTGCTTGAACGAGTCGACATATCATTTTATCTTCGGTAAATTATAAAATCATATCAACAACTAATCATGCTATTACTAAAATATCTGGCTCACTTTTCAAAATGGCTTTTTTATAACACTTTTGGAACGCTTTGAAGCCGTTTCTATACCAAGCCATAAAGAATCCAACATAGCGCCCTTTAATTTTTTTTTTTTTTTTTTTTTTTTTGTGCTTGACGTGCACGATTACGAGTTGGTCGTGGTTGGGTGGTTGTCGTACGACCGCTTCGGGGTCGTGCTGGAGCCAGGCTCCTGAGCATCACGCCCGGTCCCGGTAGTGTGATAACAGGGACTTCGAGCTAACCGTTACCGTGTTCCGCGTACCGCACTATCGGAGCCTTTGAAGCATGGTTTTCAGCGCGCGCCCCGCGGTCACGGTATCACTCCGGGCGCGCGTGCTTCAAAGGCTCCGATAGTGCGGTGCGCGGAACATGGTAAAGGTTTGCTAAAAGCCCCTAACGTATTACACACCCACGATGTGCGATTTCGCTTTCAGCTGAATAAGATACGTGGTCGTGCATGTTCGTTGTTCTTTTGTCTCGAGACGTCGAGACGTCCAGCCGTCCAGTAAGGAATCGAGAGCTGCGACCGAAATATTTCGAGGCATATTTATTGCACACATGCTAAAACGAATTAAGTACAGGGTGTCACAAAAAAATTGGGTTGTGTGTGTGTTTATACAGCCTAAAACTTGGTCTGCCTCACAGGGGCGACGAGTCTCCCAGCTGTAGATGAGAAATTTAGCCAGTGCGGTACAGCAAAAGAAAATTTACACGGTCTTTTTTACCGCAAAAATAAACTAGGCATCGCCGAACGCTCATTCTCTGCCCAAAGGTAGTGCTATAGGTCACAACCAGATGCCAAAGTTTCAGCCCGATCCGATAGTTTAATCAAAAGTTATTAGTGATATTCTGAAAATTTCAATGGGAAAATGGCGGCCGACGGAGTTTTCAAACACATGGGGCTCTATGGCACCAGAAACCGGGCGAAAATGGGCTCCATTTTCCCATTGAGATTTTCAGAAAATCACTAATAACTTTTGATTAACTTATCGGATGGGGCTGAAACTTTGGCATCTGGTTGTGACCTCTAGCTCTACCTTTGGGCGGAGAATGAGCGTTCGGCGATGCCTAGTTTATTTTTGCGGTAAAAAAGACGGTGTAAATTTTCTTTTGTGACACCCTGTACATCACTGCATCTCCATACGCGCTAAGATAAAACATCGACAAAATCACTTCGTTGCCCTCACCCCCAAGCTTTAGTTATAGATTGCCAGCACCTCTCTCATATATCTGCACGATCTCATAACTTCATTATTACATGCGGCGCCGCACACCTTCTTGGGAATGGGCTTTATCACAAATTTTATCACATTATCACTTCTTGGGAATTATCATATATATCTATACAAGCGTACGCATTGACCCACATAATTACGCATTCAACATGCCAAGTTGGATCAGCTATTCACTGAAAGTAAATAAGTTGTTAACTTGTATGCCACATAGGTAGCCTCCAGCAATCATTAGCTTCATTTTTACATATTCAAAGCTTCTCACGCAAGCAAGATGGAAAGGTGGTAAAGCAAAGCTTCGGGAATTTTGGCACTCAACAGGCTGTAGAACTGGTTGGGAACCTCGAAGTGTCTGAAGCTTTCTTCCTCCATGAAAAAACGTTCAAATGCTCGTTCCATGTCCCAGCAGCTATAATGACAATATTTATTTATTGTACTTTTCCGGTGCCCCTAAACAGCCAATAGGCCTACATAAGGGTGCACCGTTGACACCTACATGCAGTTTTGCATAAAAAAGATGCACGCAAACGCATACATAATTTGAACAAACAAAAACGTGAAATATAAATGTAAATGAGAAAAGTGCATAAAGTTGAAAACAACACTGTTTGCCAAAAAGACTGATACAAGAGGGCGTCACATTATAAAAGCACTAGCAGAGACCGCAAACTAAAACTTTCCCCGCAAAAAGATGTCTACTTCGGGCGTGTTTGCGACATTTGACATGTTAAAATTATACTGAATACGCTCAATGGGTCTTAAGCTTTTTGGATCAGAGGAACCGAAAACACGATGGGAGCGTAGAGACCTGCCAGGTACAGCAATGAGTACGGATGAGGTTAGCTTGGGGCAATCTATGAAACCGTGAAGACATTTGTGTAAAAATAAAAAGTCTCGTGCCTGCCTCCTTTCGGAGAGGCAATGCAGGTTTAAAATCTTCAACAATCGCTCATGGCTGAAATAAATTCGCCTGTTAAAATAACGATCGTAAAGTAGTCGAACAAACTTCTTCTGTACATTTTCAAGTTCATTCGCGTTTGTCTGGTTTAAACGATTCCAAACAACGCTAGAGAAATCCAGTTTAGACAGGATGAGGGATCGGTACAAATGCAAAAAGCAAGAATATCCTCTAAAGTTTCGAGTCATTCTGGTAATTGCGCCCAAAGTACGGTAACATGTATTGCTCAAGTATGCCACATGATCAGAGAATTTAAATTCACTGTCCAAGAAAACTCCTAGATTACGTACAACTGAGACGCGCTCAATCGAGCACTTGTTCAAAGTGTAGTCAAAGGTGTTAAAGAAATGTTTTCTCGAAAAAGATATGACTTTTGTTTTAGCAGGGTTGAGAACCAACTTGTTGTCCTTGCACCAGTCTGCCAATGCTGTAATATCTTGCTGTAGTTTGTTGCACTCAGAAATGTCCACAATAGCTCGGAAAAGCTTAACGTCATCGGCAAATTGTAACATTTCCGAGTGATTTATGCATGAGCAAATATCGTTCACGAAGATGTTGAAAAGCAGAGGCGATAGGCTAGAACCCTGCGGGACTCCCGATTTGGAGAGGTACGCGGTTGATTGTGCACCACCGTATGAAACAGAATTCCATCTGTCATGCAGATAGCTCCGAATCCATTCGCAAAGTGGTAAGGAGATACCATAGGACGCAAGTTTCTTAACTAGCAGTGAATGGCTCACAAGGTCAAATGCTTTTTTAAAATCAAAGTAAATTGCGTCGACCTGCTGCTTCGACCCTAGTTTGGCGCCCACAAATTCCGTAAACGCTATTAAGTTTGTTTCCACAGAACGATTTGGCATAAAACCATGTTGTTGCACGTTTATACGTCTGAAAAAAAAATGCATGATATGACAATGCATGGCCTTTTCGAACACCTTGGCAAACGAACAGATCAGTGAAATTGGACGATAATTAGTGACAGTTAGTGCCGACCCATCTTCGAATATTGGCACACGATATTCAAAGATGTTCACGATATTTAGAATTGTATACTAATTTATATCGTCGGGACACAAAACAAACTTCTATTTATAGAGAACAAACTAATGACAAAGAATGCCGTTGTCGCACCCGAGACAAGAAATAAATAAAACTTTGAATAAAAATATAGGGAGTCAAACTCTGTCTTTATTGCCCTCCGTCTGTTTGAGGACAGCCAGAGATCATTTTCAAAATTAAACCCTATTGTTATACTTTAATTATAAAGTTGTGCTTTAATCAAAGTTGGACTTCATTAAAACCGTAGTAGTTCGGGGATTTACTTTGTGGGGAATATCAGAAAGCACATGTTTTTACTGCGAGAATCGAGCCTGCCTCTAGTACGGTCAACCCGCAAACTAACAGGTATGGGCAGCAAAAGTTCAATGGTTAAGTTCGCTGAGCAAATAAAACTGAGTACGGGAAGTACATACTCACCAGTCTTTTGTTGAAAAAACAAACAAAAACTTGTAGGTCTTGGCATTAGCGGTGTTCGTGCACCATTTGGATATGGCCACGTCAAATGCATCCCTCAACAGTCTCTAAAGTTTCCACCAAAAATATCCATCGAGTTCGACAGGCTTGTGGAACGCCGGAGAGCGGAACCACGCTCGCACGACCATCGGGTAAACAAAACCATGCTACAACGCACAGCCGCACAGCAACACTGCCGTTACGAAGTTTCAAATTTGGGAGAGGAGAGCGGCGGCGCCGAGGGCCGAGGCCCGGGTCGCCGGCAAGGCGAGCGAGTTGACTGCTCATGCAACCTCCGCCCGGTGGATTTGGAGTTTTGGTTTCAGACTGAAAAAGAAATAGACAGAAATTAATATATAAAATAAATTGCATTTTATTTTCATGGCACGTTGAAGACGTTTTGTTGAAGTTATTGTTAGCAAACAAAGTTTCATATGTGTATTTTTATATTAATGAGAGCCCCCCACCGCCAAAGCGCTGCTGCCGGTGGCGACGCTATTCACAGCGCCGCCGGTGGTGGCGACACTAATGTCAACGCCGCGAAACTCGGACTGTGACCGGGGGTCGACTGGGCGGTTGGGCCAATTCCCACGACGGACTCTTACAGACTATTTTACAACAGCGCCGAATTCCTCGCCCGGGGTTAGGAGGCTCTCCTTACTTGAACGGGTCAACAATTTATTTTATATTCCGTAGATTATAAAATAAGATTAACAGCGAATGAGGTTAATGCATGATCAAACACATAACTAACTTTTCAAACTTTTTTTTTTTTTTTGCTCTTAATAGGTTATTTTTAAGCCGTCTCAATGCCAAGCCATGAAGGATCTATCATGGCGTCCGTCCCCGACTCCGGATTGAGCAAGGAGGATAGAAGGGGTCGACCGCATAGCCTCCACGAGCCATGCTTCCTTGACGCCTCTCCTCTTTCTGATTTTCCTCCTTACCCTCCTCACTTACCAGGCCAACATGACCATATCACGTGACCGCAGCTAGCCTTCCTCCAGCCGGTCTAGCCTTTGATCTGATAAAACCTACCGGACGGAGCGCGCGCAAGCCTGCAAGGAGTCCTTCTACCAGCAACCATCCATCTCGCACGCGACATGTCACGCGCACCAATTGCCAGAGAGATCTGCGGTCACGTTGGCCACAACATCGTTTAAACTTTTTATGACTAGGCTTCACCAATATTGCAACGTGCCCCCTCCTAGTACTCGTAACCTCCTTGGGATTGAGGCTTGGAAATTGGCGTTTCAGACACGCATGTTGTGTAATTATCAGGGACACTGGTGTGCACGTTCAGCTTCTTGGCTTGAAGTTAATGTAATTTAACCAGCAATTACTAAATTAGACTGCGTCGAGCAACGCAAGTCTGAAACTCGCGAAACCTCTTCTCTACAGTAGATGACTGGCTATCCGGCCAGCATTGAAACCGTGCAGCATAAATTTTGCCGCGGTCACGATTCACGATCGGTGTTCAAGTGTGCGAAGGCACAGAGACGCAGCACTTTAGCGTGCCAAGGAAGCTTTGATCACGCTGCGAGACCGGCGAAACTTGCTTTCAACGAGTTGTGGCTTTTTCCTGCGGCACTGCGCTTTTGTAAAAATTTCCGCATATTCTCAACGGGTAGTTCCGCAGCTTACACGTGGGTTCAGAAAATCTTCGGCGAATGACAACGAAAGAGTAGAAAACGTGTCTTCAGCACGCTGCAGACACTTTCACCAGCCTCTGCATTATGCATAAGAGACGACCACGAGACGACGATGCAAGAAACTTTCCAGGAAAGGGTATGCGAGATTAAGCAAGTGAGAAGTGTATCTTCTAGGTTGTCAACACATAGCTTGCACCAAGATCAGTGACCAATTCACCAGATATTCGGCGCACGTTATATTATACCATTATATTTCTTTGTTACTGCTGTCAACATTGTACTCTTTGTTTACTTTGCGGCACTTGGGAGCTCTTTAGAGCGCATTCGCGCAAGCCCACTTGATGTTGGAAGAAGGGAATCGGAATAAATGGGCTTGTTTATTCATCACCGCCTATTGGGACTCCCTTTCGTTTTCGTTTTGGAAAGTGCGCATAGCTATGATCGGCGTTGAGGATGTGCTTGATAGCCTTCATTACAATGTGTCTGAAAGCTTTTATTTGATCCCATATGGCCACTATAAAAAATCTTTGAATATTTCTCTTTATCATTCTTTTAATAAGGTATTAATGTGATGTTATTTTTGGAAAATGTAAGACCACTAGGACAGATCCGTTATTTTACCAAAGGGGGTCAGAAGGTGACAACTCTGGAGCTAGCTAGCACCCACAACTCTATATTTTATCCTCAAATAAGCAATGAAAGGGATTACGACAGTTTGGCCTCCCACACCCGTCGGATTAATTAATGCCCTTTGACATTTTTGTATAAGGAGCTTTTGCACATGATCAGGTAGCGGAACTAGTACTTATATAGTTAAATTACCAGTTCACAGACCTCGGGTTCTGCTTCGGAGAAGTAATATGCACAAGCACGAACTATCATTCAAAATCACAGTAGTGGCGGGGCCATTCTTTGTGCTACAGAAAAGCTATACCACACTCAATCAAGGATGAGTTTTATTTACAATATTTGTTCTCTGGTGCGACCTCCTAAACTACACATGGCTTTGTCCTCTTTGCCTTTAGCCTTTTGATTTAGAACTTGACAACCGCCTATGTCAAGGCATGTGAATGCCCGGAGCAGCCCACACTTGGTACCTGCCCGAGGCCATGAACAATCTCCTTGACCTACTGTGTGTGTAGTCTCGGTTTGCTGAATGTATGTGTCAGTCAGTCCTTTAGAGTCTGGATGAGGGCATAGAAAGCTTTAGAAGGATACAAGTGCCCACCCAGGTCCCACTCCATACATGCCTCTGATGGCAGGTTGGTGGGCATATTTTCTTTTTCCAATAGGCATTTGGACTTGCAGAGCCTTCGGAAGCTTGGGAGTATGCGCAGTGGCTTCACTAGGGTCAGCGGAACCTGGAACAGTGACCCGCCCCTTTTTCCCTTTTCACTGCCCAGCTGCACCTCCCGAGCGCTGCACCCGGGGCGGTGCAGCTGGGCTTTTCGTTCTGGGCTATTCTGGCATTTATTACTGAAAAATCGGTGAAATGGAAAGAAAATACAATTGGCTTACCTTTTCTTCACTTCATTCGGCCCAAACAAGCATCCCATTGACACAAAATATTATTTAAGTGTACATGCAAAGTATATAAAAAACATAGTTTTGATTTTTTACAATTTACTCGGGTGAACCAATCTTTCCACAATTTTAGTGAAAGCTTCCACCACCTTCCGGCAGCTCTGTAGCAGATGCTAGCGCGATATGTTAGGAGCCCGATTTATGCGAGCCATCCAAAGTTGGATCGAAGCGTTAGTGTAAACGCTGTGCGGCGGCTTTAGAAATAAAGCTGTTGCCATGTTGCAAAAATTTAAAACAACCGAACGCCAATATGCCGGCGTGTCCACCACTCATCTCTGGCACGGAGTCTGAACCTAGCCTCGCAATAAAAAAAACGGAAAAAAACACCCTGTCGTCCAAAATGCAGTGGTCACGGATGGCCAGTATGGAAACGTGGGGAGATCCGCCGGGCAATCATCTTAATGATCTGGTGATAGAGAAATGCATTGGCTTGAAAGCGGAAATCCGGTATTTGTTATTGTTTTTAGGCTAGGTGGTGCAAGCTACTGCCGGTTACAAAGGGTGCAGCCATTATCATCCATCCATCCATCATCCACATGGAAAGCTAAGAAAAAGCAGGGCCTTGGAAGGCATTGTGAAAAAAGTGAAAGGGCTTACATGGCGTGGTGCGTGGGACAAAGGACGTCGAGGGCTTGGGACAGGCGGACATACCGACGAGAGAAAACACGTCGGACCAGATCGGAGTTTGGAACAAGACTGTCTATTTACAATATATTACAAAGCATCCGGAAACGGCGGGTGCCGCTGTCGGGCACGTGGCGCCATCTCGTATCATCACACTATAACTCGAAGCACCATCTGGTGTACAGATGGCATACTACAAGTTTAAACACTGTTTTAGAAGATCTCGGTCATTCATTGATGCATAGATATCAAGATATCGGTCAAACACTCCTTAACGCGTGCGTTACCGTTTATAAAGTCATAAGGGTTCTGCACTGAATTATTGCATCAGTACCGAGAAAGGGAAGGGTCTCCTGGCTAACGATCGAGAGATGGGCACTCTTTGAAACCGAAACATTTGAGAATCTCTGCCTTATGATATCACTGGACCCTGCTAAGGCCTTTCGTCCCTGCACTTTTGAATACTTGGTCAAGCTGAAACTGCGAATTAGTGATTTAGAGCACTGCAGGTACTTGTAAGGATTCACACGTGCATTCGAATGTGCTGGACAGAGTGGATTTGTGAATGAATGATTTACGACATTCCTCGCACTTGAAAAGCCCATTTGCGGCGTGTGTCCTTGTGTGCCAGGCGGGGCCCCTTTTCAAAGAAGGGCGTCGGACTAGTGGGACACTCCAAAGGCCTGCTACATGCATGCCTTTCGACGTGATGGCTCGGTGCGCACCATAGACCGAATGACGTGGAACAGAGGCGACACCTGTATGGCATTCCCCTGGCATGCTTCCGAGCGTGACTGCCAAGTCTGTCGTTTGTGAAGAATGCTGCTTTTCAATGGCGGACACTCAAAAGATGCTCTACTGTTATGAGCCACGGTGTGCTGACTCCAGCCTCGCCCCCTGAAAAAGGGGTCCACGCAGTGCAGGCGCCAGGATAGTCAGTCGGTCTGCAGAGTGGGCGATGAGGTGGCCGATTATGGCACGCTGGTCTCCCGAGGAATGGCCGCAAAAACAGCAGCTGAACCAAGAGTCCTCTACAGTTTTTGTTGGATTGCTTGTTTCTTTCCAAATCTGGCATCCAAGGCCTAAAACAAAGACATGATCATCTATAATACCACAAAAACCGCCATACTTTCCACTTTATAAGTTGCACCTCCTAATATCAGTTTTCTTTCTTAGTTTGCATACTATACTGCAGGGGACTCAAACCCATTTGAGTGAGGGGGCCAGGTAGCCCACCCCTAAAAGCTTGAGGGCTAACCTAAGAAAAAGAGGGGAGGGGGTCAAGAGATTTTTCAGAGAGAGGACCTCGTGCCTCCCTTTTCTTGTAAACTTGCAGTTTTGTTACTGACATCTTTAGCTTTGATATGTGTACAGGACTACTTTGGGCCCTTGCCTGATGTGATGACAAGAATTAAAATAGAACAGTTTGTACGAGAGCAAGCACAAAACTGTTGTTTCCGTTGATCAATTCACTCTGGAATTAATCAAGCTCAACATGTCTAAAAAAAGAAAATCTCTTCATATGACAGTTGTTGCTTTCCTGGCGAGCTTTATAGCAGCAGTCCGAGAAAATACTTGTAGCTTAATGGTGATAGTCGTTTTGCTGAGCGAGAATTTGGGTAGCCGAGGTGAATCCTTGAGCGAAGCGCTCATGCTTGCGGCCTAGTAGCGGAATAGTACAGGTGACTACCATGACAAAAATCTGGGATGCAAAAATTAAAACGAGACACAAGCCAAATGAAAATAGAATAGTACCAACTATGTAAATATGTTACAAGAGCAGAACTATCTCTCGAGACAAAATAAATTGGCGACATGAGATCATTTTGGCACATGCCATTTCTAGCGCCCACAACATGGGAACAGGGTGTCGCAGCCAGTTGTCTGCGGTCTGCGTCCGAACGGACCGCAGGCCGCATTCGGAACAAGTTTGAGTCCCCTGCTATATTGAATGCACCCCACTTCTTTGTAAGGTTGGTTCAGCAAAATAGCAGTGATCACTCCACATGTATGTATTGTGATTGCAATATGTCAACAAGAAACCAGTTTCAATATTCTTGCCACCGAATCGATTGAGAAATATAGCCCCCAAGGTTAGGTCAAATCGCAGCTCGTCCAATGGTTTAAAAAATTATTGCACACTTAAAGGGCAGACTTAAAGGGGCACTAAAATGCTTTTTGAGATCCCCAATTCATTGTTATAATTCAATGTACGAGCCCCGCGCATCCTCAAATACTCGAAATTACATTCATGCGTGGCCAATTTACCTGCAGCATAGGCGAGGAGATGCGTGGTTATGCTCCACCGACCACTCGTGACAAAGGCACAGGAACAACATCGGAAGTGGAAGTCCTTGGAGAATCTCAACAGGCAGATGGACTCCTCGCCACCTGTCTCTTCAATGTCTAAAAAAATGTAAGAACAGTGTCAACGGCATTAAATGCAAACGCAAAAGAAGACAACGTAAACATGAGAGAACTCTAGAGGGCTACAGGGTTTCTAAGTGAAGGTTTTCTTATACCACCTATTACTAGCACAAAACTAAAAAGTTTAAGAGCATGGAGAACTTGGGAGCATAGGAACTTGAGGGCAGTTACAAACAATGGGAAGTCATCAAATCATTGTTGCCTTTATTTTACTTAGTTGTTTGTACATGGCCTGCATGCCTGATTCGCAGGTAACTGGGTCCTTTTCCTTGTATTAGTTAAAAACCAAGAATGGGTATATTTGTTTTTGCGACAACTATGGCAACCTGAATGATGTCACTTGTAAAGAGAGCTACCCTTTGCCTAGCAAAACTTGTACGGGGGTCAGTACTTTGTTTTGGTGGACCTAAGATCAGGCACTGGAAGGTTTTTATGTCAAAATCTGAAAATCTCGGACCAGCTTTCAAGTTTTTTTAAGGGGCACGAATGTAATCTTTTATCGCTTGGGTTTTGTAACTGATTTACTTCATTTTTCAAAGGCAAAGATGGCATACAAGTCACTGTTATCTATATCATGCTATTGTGTTCTCTTCAACGTTTAAGAGCATGTTGCCCGACTGTTCAAGGCCTTATTGTAGATTGCTAAAGGAGGTTTGCAATTAAACAGAAAAGCATCCCCTTGAATGAAAGGCTCTAGACCATTCAACCACACACAACAGCATCAGTCCTGTCCCAGATAAACTGGGAGCGAAATCCTCTCCTCGGCCCGCTAACGCACGGCAGCTAAAAAGTTTCCTCGAGGTTATGTTCGCACTTCCGTCGTTTCATTTCTGGTTTTGTGAACATGGCTTTCATCCAAGGTTTCGTGAAAGTAGAACACGCCAGCAGCGTGCCTTCATGCACTCCCGTTGATCTGCGGTGCCTGCCAGCAATGCACCACATTTGTGGCAAACCCCTGCAAGTTCTAGTTCGAGCTCATGGCAGCACTTGTATTAGGCAGGAGGCTGAATGCTCACGCTCTTAAACGTGACCCACATGGAGAGTTTTTGTGCACGGTTTGCACGCATCAATGTCGACGCGACGTCATTTTCGACACGTGCGCACTCGGTTTCGTCAACGCGCCAGTTTCTCGCCAAGCCAGAAAAAAAGCGCGCCCCTGGCGCCGACGTCAAAGTCGGCATCTGCTATCACCAATGAAAGGCGTGCAAACAGTCACATGATTTCAACATTTCCGCTTTTCGTGCTGTGCGCAGTCATTACAACTGTGCCTATTTGCAATATGTTGTTGGGCATCATGGTGGACAAGACTGCGTTCAGTGTAGTATTAACTTTTTTTTTTCTTTCTGTTCTCAAAGAGTACCTTAAAAGCTGAGAGACGGCATAATTAAAAAGTTCTGAGGACACCTAAGCACTTCTTACGAGTTGTGAATGCGAAAGCATTAATGTCTAACTGAATGCCGCTGTGTGCTCATTCGAGTTTTGCACTGCAAGTAATGTTTTCGAGTTTTGCTCACATTTCGCTACTTCCGAGGTTGCGGCCGCTGAAAATAGAGATGCTTCTTGCCGATTAAGAAGCTTTGGTTTCAAATCTGCTTCCGCCTCCCGCTTTCGAATGGGCAAGATCCGTCTCCCAGCACGTTGTGCCGCTGCTCGTTCTGCCCGCTGTATATTTGGAGACTTGACAACGATGGTGGATTTGGCTGCCTTCCTCTTCGCTCTTTTTGCTGCATTCTTCCGCTCCCTTAGTTCGTCTGCGGTGTACTGACGCGGAGGGCCAGGTTTCGCTACGGCCGCGGGGGCGGCCGTCGACGATATGGATGCTTCAGGCGCCGCCATGTTCCTCGGCACCGAGGAGAGCAGAAGCGGCCGCAGCGCCGGCATGGGGTGCGGCGATGCGCCGCGCAGACAGCCCTGGCTCGCTGGTGACTGCTGCGCCGCTGGGTGAGGCAGCAGCGGGAGTGCGAAGCTCGGCACGGCGCGTGCTGAAATCACGTTTCCTCTCATCACCATCATGGCCCTAGCTGAGGGTATCGGTTGACGACGTTAAACCTCGAAGCTTTACGTTAGGCCTAACGACAGGCCAGCACATTCCCGCATCCTCCCTTCCTGCTGTGCCACCAGCACTTCGGCTGGCTCCTTAGCATTGATGACGCCGTTGCTATGGAGTCACATAACGTGTCATAGCCAATGGGAATTAAGTACCGTTTAGCTTAGCCAATGGAAATTTAGGTGTTCTTTTACACTGCTACAGAAAACGCCGGCTTGGCTCCATGGGACAGTTAATGCTTTCGCATTAATCACAGTGATCCTGCTCCTCCTGGAATGTCATGACTGCTGTTGGTAAGGTTGTGCAAATTTTGAGAAAAAGCCAATGAGTGAATAAAAGATTTGCTGGAACGATGCACACAGATGTCTGTAGAGCGTCCATTTCGAACTCTGTGTTCGTGTGCCGTCCACACCAACCACGAACGCCGCCTCGACCCGCGTTGATAGCGCGCCGTGCACGAGCGGGCGCGTGCATGCACCAGACAAGAAAGTTGCACAAGAGCCCATTTCTTATGATTGGCAAAGCGCCCAATTTGGCCCGACGCCAAAGTATTTGCCAACGCGATTGCCGGCTTTCCTGCTTCCCCAGCATCACTTTTCGTCGTCTCTTTAGCCTGCTAGCTCGTTGTGCCTGATCGTTTTTTTCTATTTTCTTGTTGACTTTTTTTTTTCTTTTCACTACTGAAGAGGATGTAGCGGTGTTAGAAACATGCTTTCACTGAACAAACATTCACGCGGCATGCCGATCGGCGGTGTTCATCACGTGTATGCAAGCGACAAACTTTGCAATAGTAAAACATTCTTTCATAAGCATTTCTTGCACAAAACAATGCAACTAATTTGAGTTTTGAGTCTCTTGTGCAGCCGCAATAGATGTAAACAAAAAATTGGCATTATTTTTAGATTTTTTTAAACTTTTACTACGACGAGATTGAATGTTGCCAACCAAGCTCTCGTTTCCCACTGATTCTAGCGTCGCCGCTAACTTTTTTTTTTTAGTTTTTGAGTTACTTTGGCGCAGTGTGGCGCAATTTCGACAGATTTCGCGTTTTTGCGCAACTAAGTGCAGAAAATTGGGTTTGTATAAAAATGGCGCAATTGGCGCAGATGTCACACCCCTGAGAGTGCTGAAAAGTTGCTGGAGGATCACCACCCAAACACTGCATACTAGGTAAACTCTGACAGGGTGTTTATCAAACTGCCTCTCTCATGTTCCTTACTTTCCCAGATTTTGCCAGAATTTTTCGACTATAGATTCCCCGGTCATTGCAAAAAGAAGAAAATGTCAAGGATGGGGTTGCAGGAGCCGTTCATTTTGTTCCCGTTTAATTCGGTGAATCGGGCAACGACTTACGTTGCCTAGTGATGCCGTGGACAACTGTTGACCTCAGTGCAAGGCCATCCATGCCACTGCACGCTACAACTCCTGTCTTGCCTCATGTAACTGCACCACACACATCGCTCATTTTCCCTGGCTTGGCTGACTTTTTGACGATTTCCCAGACGATTCCCAGACTTTTCCAGGTGCTTCGAAATTCCCCTGCCCTGTTACTTCGGGTGTGCTGCAAGGTTCCGTCCTCGGCCCCCTTCTTTTCCTCATATACATAAATGACCTCGTTAACAATGTCCAGTCATCCATAAGGTTGTTTGCAGATGATTGTGTCATTTATCGTGTAATCTATTCTGATACTGATACGTCTTTTCTTCAGACTGACCTAAATTCCATTACTAACTGGTGTGACGTCTGGAAAATGCGCCTTAATGCCAGTAAATGTAAAGTAATGAGAATTTCACGGAAAGCTGCCTGTACTAACTTTCCTCAATACAACATTGGTTCTGTTCTTGAGCAGGTGACTTCGTACAAGTAGCTAGGTGTCCATATAACATCTGACCTCTCCTGGCAAACTCACATTAATTTTATTGCTAACAACGCTAATCGCATGCTAGGTTACTTACGCCGCAACTTCTCAAGAGCTCCTTCATCATTAAAACTACTACTGTACAAGACCCTCGTTAGATCCAAGCTTGAGTATGCGAGTTCGGTGTGGGACCCAGGCCATGAATTTCTAATTAATCAAATTGAATCCGTACAAAATCGTGGCGCACGTTTTATTTTGTCTAATTTCTCGCGTTTTTCCAGTGTATCATCCATGAAACTAACTTTACATCTTTCGAATCTTTCATTGCGTAGAAAATTATCTCGTTTGTCCTTATTTCACAAAATTTATCATCACAACCAGCATCTAAGTGAAGAGCTTTTTTCTGAACCATCGTATGTATCCCATCGAAATGATCATCACCATAAAGTCAACGTTCCTTTCAGTCGCACGAAGCTCTTTTTTGATTCTTTTATCCCAAGAACTACTAATGACTGGAACCACCTGCCCACCTTCATCGCCACAATCACAGACGCTCCTGCATTCAAGTCTGCCATTGAAAACTATTATGTTAACTAATATGTGTTGAATTCTATTTTTTGTACTTTTGTTTTTCCCCCACTCCCTTCTGTAATGCCGTGTGGCCTTGAAGGTATTGAAATAAATAAATAAATAAATAAAACTCTAGAATTTCTGGGTCGCTCAACATGACCAAGCCTACCCTATTGCTGGGTGCCGGGCAAAAAGGTGGCGAAACACTGACCACCTGATTGATGAAATCACATGCAACAACAATCTTAATGGCTGGTTCACATGTTTGCATTCAACTGTGACCGAACTAGGATCACTTGCAAAGCTCACAAGAGCACAATGGTGCCATCTCTCAATAGGCACGGGGACACCTCCCAACTCCGTATAGTTTAACTATCATTCCTCCACGATAGCCTCAAAATAATTTTGTTGAGAGACCATTTCTCATAGACAGTGAGTAGATATGATCTCGCAAATGACGCAAAATCCTCAGGGTTACAGGACTACCTAACAGACGGCGCCAGTGTCTTCCCACGTCGTAAGTCATTACAGGTACTTGGTGCGCAGTCGACCACATTCAAACAGACGTGTGTGAACCAGCCTCTGAGAGCAAGAAACAGAACTGTAGAGTGCAGGTTTGCCTTATCACCATATATCGGTTTCCGGTAGCACCATACATGAGTAACAGCCGGCGTTTTGATCGCTCTTCTGTGTGTAAAGTTGCATTCTCTCCGGGGCGTTATGGTGAATTGCTTGTACCTACGCACATGAAGGGTACCTAGTGATCACTGCAGAGTAGCAAATTCCCACCTTCGCAGGGCTGCAGAATGTGCGGTTGCCCCGTTGACACCGCTCGGGATCGCTTGGACGCCGGGGGCGGGTGTCTATTGCTGTCCACACCTTGTAGGGGGTTTCCGCTGGGGGGTACGAAGGGAACCGCTGCTGCAGGAGGCTCTACCATCAACTGTGCTCTCTCCTGCAGGATTGCCGAATCTGCAGCAATCGACCGAAAAAGGCACAAGCGTGATTATGCCAACTGGCCACGGCACTCTCTGCAGTCTGTCGCAGGTTAATAGGGAAAGCTCTTTCCGCAATGCCCTCCGCTCTTGACACTTCAGCAGAGGGAATGCTGGAGAGGGGGTTAGAAGAGAGAAGGAAACCATCAACCATGGTGAGCAGAGGGCTCCGAGGGAAGAGGCTTTTCTTCAGCTTATGTTGCAACCTTCTATAACGAAACTGTCTTTTTTTTCGATATTGAGTTTGGTAAAGGTCATTCTCAGCTGTGCACAGCTAGGGTCTTGGCAGCCAAGACAGAGTTGTCTTGTTTTCTTTTTGACATTTGGGAAAGAGTGCGCTGAATACACATACTCCGGCGAAATGCAGCGACTTCTGCGATTCGAATTTGCCAAATTAAACATGCTGCAAGTTTAGTTACACATGATGTATATGCTGATGCCTGCAGCACAAACTTTTCTAATGCAAAAACCCAAGAATAGCACTGCATATGCTTTCATCTACACCTTATTTTGGACATTTACTCCGAACCTTTTGTACCGATAAGGCAAGCATGTGCAGCATGTGCACCTGCATCCCTAGCATTCTTTATTGCTTTGGTAACTTGGGAAAAGGTCTATTATCATCCAAGTTGTTTTTTTTGTACCTGATGCAATTTTTTTCTGGTAATGTATTATGCTATTTATATAATTTGGGAATAGTGTAGTCTTTGAACACGACTTTAACTGACCACATGTTCATAACAAACATCCCAGAAACCACATTTACTGGAAAACAAGGAGGGCAGGTAACAAAAATTGACAAAGAACAACCTTCTTGGCCGTATGCACTGCCGATTTGCATATCAAGGAAGCGATCACCAATTGCTACACTTACCTTTCTAGCAGAACGAGAGATGGCGCTACCGAACCTTGCTGAACATGGTCGAACAACAAACAGCGCTTGTCAGCCACTCACGAGCGATGGGTTCCCGCATAAACGAGCGGCCTATCAGTCCCGCTCGTCCGCGCAGGAACTCATCACTCGCGAGTGACTGAGAAGTGCCGTCCCTCATTCTACCATTTTCAGCAAGGCTTGGTAGCGCCATCCGTCGTTCTGCTACAAGGGCAAGTGTCGCAATCTTTGATCACTTTTTTTAATATACAAATCGCATGAATGTAATGTAACTTACATTGGCGAGGCAAAGTACCCCCCCCCCCCCCCCCATCAAAGAATTCTGCGACACAAGAATGATGTGAAATTTGACCAGACGGCTCTGGAAAGCTATAGATTAAACAAAAGAGTTATTGCCAAAGAAAGCATTTATGACAATTCTAGGGGAAGCTTATTGCTGTTTGAGGCGAGGACGGGTGTTCTGCGAACCAGACCATACAGAGTGAAGTACCAGGAAATGGATACAGTGTGCACTGCTTGTGGAGAGGAGGACGAGACGGCTGAGCACTTGATACTCTACTGTAAAGGGCTTCACCCTATGCCTACCGAAGACAACATAGATTTAATAAAGTCATTGGGTTTTAGAGACAGCAAAGGGAGAGTGGATTTCAAGACTGTAGAGATTACCAAGCAAAGATTAAGTGAATGGTGGCAGAAATCGAGAGAAAACTAGGTATTTTCTTATTCACTGATGGCAAGGGGGTTTCATAGTTTCACTTTCTTTGCACTGCCGAGTGGATATAGATTTCACATTTAAATATTCTAAGCTTAAATGGGAAAACAAAATGGCTAGGTGGCGTAAGCTACCGCCCGATCCAAAGGGCTCAGCCGTATTCGTCCGTCCATCCATCGTCCGTCCGTCCCCACACCTCAGTGTTTACTCAACACAAAGCCTGTGCACATGCCCATAAGTTTTATACGCATGGGGCACAGTGTAATGTAAAAATACGAACAATAAACAAAGTGATGTTAAATGCCGGATCTCTCCCGAAAACAGTCGTCGGAGAATGCGAGCTTGACCCACTCCGGCTTTTGTGCTGAGCTGGGCACCGTGCATGCTGCATTGTTCATGCAGGACGGAGTGGTAACAAAAGAGCCCCTCCTCCCCTTCACCAGAGAACACGAACTTCAGCCGAACGCTGACACCGCGTTCGGTTATGTCAGCCGAGCGTTGAGTCATTTTATTTGTTGTCCCCATCCGTGTAGTTCTAAAAGTAACCGCTTGGGGCGCCATACTCTGATCTCCTCCCCAATAGCATTGCTCTATGTAAATACCTGCATTAATTTGTTTAAAAACATTGCTCGGCGATTGTGTACCATACACGAAACTCGGGTGGCACTCAGTTGATCGAATGTAATGCGCGCGCCCCAGTCGTTTAATAAAACCAACGTTGGCTAAAACGTCGATTCCCTCAAATAACCGCTGTTCGCTAAAACGTCATTCGCTCAAGGTGAAACTTGCTAAACGTTTATGATGCTCGAACGTTTCACGTATGCAGCACAATTGCCTAGCAGTTTGCAATCCATTTTGATTACCCCTGGCTTCACGCTGAGCTGCTCGCCTGGCTTTTTGAGCTTGACGTCTTTGCTCACGTCGCTGGTCTTCAGTTGTAATCCTAGAAGCTCGTGCAGCCCGTTCATCAGCTCGCCTGACCCGTTGAGCTTGTCGTCTCCGCTCGCGTCTCTGGTCTTCAGTCATTGAAGTTCGTTTGGCAGCACGTCTAGCCTGTTCAGCCAGACGCCTACGTTCGCGGCGCTCTTTGTCGGATAATTTAACGCGTGGCATATTGATCTCCCAGGACCATAGTGGATATCACAGTACGTAATATATACTAGCCCACACGCCGCCGAGTAACGATAACCGAGTAAACCACACGACCATACCGACCATACTGTGCAGTATGCAGGATTGGATTGGATTGTTCAAATTCCCCCTTTGGATTCTGGATCTAGCTAGTGGTCACTTCTGCACTTCCTCTTCCGCTGGGAGGAAAGATGGCGTCTCGCTGGTGCGGCTCGGTTCAGAGCCGTATATGGCTCGGTTTGATCGCTCCAGGGCGGCGCGCGATTTCGACCGCGGTTAGAAGCATAGAGATCATATACTAAATCTAGAGGAAAAGGTCCGCCATTTTCCCATACATTCTGGCTGCCGCAAGCGGCGGACCATGCAGGCAGACCCTCTGGGTCCCAAACACGGTTACATCATCAGAGCAGTTTCGTGAACTTCAACAATCCACGAACTTACCGGTGGAAAGATACTCGCGTTCTTTTCGAAGGTTTCTTTTTGCATAGCGCGCAGATGTACGGCCTCGCGTTAACGCTAAACTAAACCATATACCCGGCTTCGCTGGTGGGGCGCGGCTGGGCGCGGTTGAGGAATACGAAACTGCGCAACCACCAGATTTCCGAGATTTCGACAGAAGGGAAGTTAATGCAGCGTAATGACTTTATTGCTTTTTATAAGCGTTAGAATAGCTCAGAATTTAGTTTACAACGTTAAATTATCACTGTTTATATGCTGAGAGTTTTCACTCTTCGTGTTTACCATGGCAACGTTGCTTTCTTTCTCTCGTGTTCTGTCGCTCTCTTTTGCGATCGTTCACTCGGGACCCAGGATGTCGGCGCACGGGATTTGCCACTCCTCCTCACCCACCTTTACCCCCCTGGTTAGAAGTTTACGCTGTTGGTGAGGTGTCATCAGAGACTATGCGGCAAGAGCTCTTCCGTCTTCATCCTCGGCACCCCTGGGGATGCGATTTACTTTACTACTTCGTAATTCAATAATCAGTGGGACAATCAAACAAAAAAAACTGTGTGCGAGTTTTTTTTTTGTTTTTTTTTCCCCTTCCCTTCTTTTTTTTCTTCTTCTTGAAGAGAGCGACGGAGGCGCCGTTGGAGTTCTGAGGCGCACGGTGTATAAGACCCAGGGCCCACATCGATGCCCGGGGAGCAGGAGGACCTCGTCGACCCAAACGCCTCGCCAGCGATTCGGGCTCGGCTGCTGGTAGCGGCCCGCGTTCGCCAGGAGACGAAGGGGTTCTCCAGGGGGGCTATGTTGCGCTTTTTGCACTCCCAGGAGACTAGGGAGAGGGAAGTGACGTCAACGACACAGCAAACGCAGATTGGGTGTTGATTTCGTTTTCTTCTGTCAACATCCAATCTGCAATTGCTGTGTCGTTGACGTCACTTCCCTCTTCCAAGTCTCCCGGGAGTGCAAAAAGCGCAACATAGCACCCCAGGCAACTGAACACCACTGTCCCCGACCGGGCCCTTGCCTTCCGGGACCCGGTGCCGTTCCGGGCCCTCAGCTAGATCGAGGTCCACGAGAACCTTTGCGAATTTCTCGGGTGCCGCTGCGACGGAGTTGGGGGCGTGGACCCGGGCCGCGTGCCCCCGGAAAAGGCCCCGAGGGCCACCCAGGGCTCTGTGACCGACGGCCTGCGGCCCACCGGGACCGCCGCTGCCGTGTTGGCGGACCAGCCCGGGCGGGGCGGAGAGACCACGGCCTCGGCTCCCGTAATGGCGGCGATGAGGAACAATGGGGAGCCCTCCCCGGTCGGCTCTCCCGCATCGGGCGGCAAAGATGGCGTCCGTGCCCGCCCAAATCCTCATCTTGCCCGGGAGGGGAGAGGGGGAGAGACATCGCCCCCCGGCCCCTCGCTGTCCCGGCGGAGTCCGCGGCGGCAGCAGGCTCCGCGTCTGCCCCCCTCGACCCCCGTTTCCACTCTGTGAACATCTTCGAGGACCTGCGCGATGACGACTGCGGCGACGATCTCCATCCCCCGTGGAGGAAAGTCTGCAGAGGAGGGAGGCCAGGGAGGCTGCATGAGGGACGCGGAGGAGCGGGCAACGGTGCCGTGCCCCTCCACCTTCAGAACGGCAGCAAGCAAGTCGAGACACGCCGGGGCGCGGGTCAGCCGACCCCTTAGACCGTCCTGCTCCGGCCCAGAGAGCGGGCGGCCCTGAAAAGAGCTAACCGCTTCAGTGTGGGGCGGGACATCGGTCTGATCGCGGGCAGGGCCTGCACCACCCGCATCAACCTCAGGCGGAATATCGTAACGGTGGACACTACCGACGAGGAGACTGCGTCCCGTCTCCTCACGATAAAGAGGTTGGGAGAGATGGAGGTGGAGGCGCTGCTCGCCACCCATGAAAGGGGTCCCACGAGGCTAGTGATTGATGTAAACCTGGACCTCAGAGTCGACGCCTTCCTCGCGGACGTCGAGTCTCCCTTCCGCGTCATTGCGGCCCACCGGGCCAACCATGGAAGGGACCTGCTCGTCCGCTTCGAGGGGGAGGTGCCCGGACACAAGTGCTTCTGGGGAGTGCGCTCCCGCGTCATTCCGACTCAGCCGCAGCCCCTGCAGTGCGGCCGCTGTGGCCGCTTCGGACACACCTCGTGGGCCTGTGGCAAGCCCACCGCCTGCCCCACCTGTACAGGCAACCACCCGCCCAGAGAGTGCTCGCTCAGTGACACCCCGCGCTGCCCCAACTGCGGGCTCAACCACAGCGCTTTGGACCGTCAGTGTCCCGCCTACCAGTGGGAAAGGGAGATTACGTCCGTGATGGTCCGCGAGAGCATCCCCCGCGCGGAGGCTCGCGGGGTCATCGTTGGCCGCCCCCACCGCGGCCAACATCAACGGACATGGCAGGTGCCCCCCGTCCGCGATCCAGGGCGTGACTCCGACCCCCACTTTCCCCCCCTCGCCCTCCCCCCCCCCCCCCCCCAGCGTCATGGTCCCCCCACCTAACCCTGCCCTGTAACCCCCCCCCCCCCCCCCCCCGGACCCCCCACTGCATCCTGCCCACGCTGGTCCGGTCCCGCGTCGACGGACCCTGCCTCAACCGAGCCCACCCAGCGCACCCCTGCCTCCACCCAACAGCCCGAGCTCCAAGCTCCCCACCACCAGCACATGCAGGCACCCCCCCTCAATCCCGAGCATCTACGGCCACCAGCTCTGCCGTATCGACGCACTTACGCACCGCCTGGTGCCCGGCCAGGCACAATGACCTCTACCAACAGGCACCGCACCGAGCCTGATCTGCCCTCCACCATGGCACCCTCCCCACGTGCCCCCCCCCCCCCCACCCGCCAACGGCTCCAGGTTCTGCCCCGAGAGCCGCCCCCCACACCCCACCGAGCTACAGATTATGACACACGTCATGAACATAGAACATACACTTCACACACTCCTGCACCTCCTCCGCGCACACCCACACGGCGAGTCCCTCCTGCCCCAACATTCCCCCATCCGCAGCCTCCTCTACAACACACACCATGGCCGCTAACCCCCCACCGTTACACACAATAACCAACAACAAAGCACCTTCAGTACCACAATGGAACTGCCGCGGCCTATCAGCGAGACTACACGACATCAAAACTCACCTCTCCCTCAACCACAACCACTACGACATCATTGCCCTACAAGAACCACACTGCAGTCTAAACACATACAGACTGTCAGGATACATACAATACGGTAGCGGGGCACAAACACCAGGGGCAATGATCATGATACGCAACAACATCCCCCACACACCCCTAGATCTCACAGATTTCACCACAGACACTGAGGAGTATGCGGGGCTAAGGTAAGGAAACCAGAAGGGGACATTAATATAATATCAGTTTACATTCGGCCTAACAAACCCTGGAATGCAGATACCTGGTAGCAGTAGCAACACACACAGAGGGACACTTGATTCTAGCTGGAGAACGCACGTAACGAAATTTGGGGGGACAACATCACAACAGTGAGGGGAAGGCAGCTGCTCGAAACCCTAAATGCACTTAACCTTAAAAATCTATTACTCGGCACGCCCACATTCGCCCGATCCGGAATCCTGTGCTCAAAACCAGACATCACAGTCGTCAGCCCCCACCTCAAGCTTCGCGCACTCCCACAACCCGACACATGGGGAAGTGATCACCTGCCCATGTTGGTCGGCAGGTGCGCACTTCCCCCCAAAAAAACCTGCAAAGTAGTTGATTGGCAAAAATACAGACACACACACTAAACGAACTTGCTGCACAACACGACACAACCAACCCCCAGGACATCGAGAGTGCTCTCGGGGCGGCCACCAGGCTTGTTGACGTGCCCGTCACGCGGCCCAACCCCGACCTACGCTACCTGGAGATTCGGGCCCAGCGGAGGAGGGCCCAAAAGCGCGCATTCCGTACCGAGCTGACCCAGGACATCCAGGCGTACAAGCGCATTGATGCCTGCTTCAGGAGATATACGAAGCATCTGGCGCGCCGTCAGTGGAGACAGCGCTGTTCGACCCTGCACCTGACGGGTGGGGGTCGACTGGCCTGGTCTATGATGCGCGCCCTCCACGGTCACCCCACGCAGAGATCTCCCGCAGAGTCGCTGGCCGTCCACCTGGGTCTCAGTCAGCGGGATGTAGCGGAGATGCTGGCTGATGCCCTGGCAGTGCCCCCGGCTCAACCGCCCGACGTTCCGCGACCCAGCTATTGGCCACCGGACCCAAGCCCCACCGCGGCCTCTCTCTACCAGGGGGACTTCACTCTCGAGGAGCTGCAGGATGCCCTTTGTAGACTCCCCAAAAGGAGGTCGGCCCCAGGACCAGACAAAATCACAAATCAGGCCTTAAGAAACATCGACTGCAAACCCTCCTTGCCATCCTGGCCATCTACAACCAAATCTGGTGTTCTGGGAAAATCCCTTCTCACTGGAAAACATCCACAGTGTGCCCCATCCTCAAGAAGGGAAAAAAGCCGACCTCCCCCAGCACTTTCCGGCCAATCTCCCTCACATCCTGCATGGCCAAGCTCCTCGAGACAATGGTCCTTCGTTGGGTGGACCACTACCTGGAGTCAACCGGCTACTTCCCCGTGGAGATGGCGGGCTTCCGCAGACGCCGCTGCACGGCAGATCCCATTATGGACCTGGTGTCAGAGCTGGAGTGTGCCGCCGCCGCAAGCAGGTCA